ATTCACTTCTGCCCTCGGTACAAAATATAAAACAGACCCCCACCCCCCACAGTTCTACGGCATCGACACCGGTGCAGTCCATCGGGAAGGCCAGCCCTCAGGCCTCGAACATGGCGCAGCTGGCACAGAGCACCGACTCGTGAACGTCACCACAGCTGCAATGTCACAGGGAAGAGAGAAAACGGCTTTTAGGGGCTCAGTTGTGTCCGCCTGGATTGGTATGTTGTGGTGCTGGCCCCAGTCCCTTGACTGTATCTGGGGACGGAGCCGTGAGCCGCAGGCGGAGCTAGCTAAGCCAGGGCTGCACGGCAGGCGGGTGGGCCCTAACCCCACACGCGAAGTTACCACCCACTGCTGTCTGTCACGGCAGCCCTACTGGACTGAGAGCCGCCGGCCCACCTGTGGCCCCCCACACGGGAACCTCCCGGCATCCAGTTAGGATTTACTGGACCACAGTAGTTCAGCGAATCGCAGAGGAGGGTCCTCAGGAGAGACCACGAAAAGACAAGAAAATTGGAAAGAGGCCTCAGTCTGAGATGCGCCATCAAGAAGGCAGCGCAGCTTGCCACCAGGCGGGGAGGGGAGACGGTAAGCCCGTGGCCCACAGCACAGGACATGCCACAGGCGACCAGCTGTGGGCAGGACGCCGATGGGCGCAGGGCTACTTTTTAGTGGAAGCAGAGCCTTGCACAGCTCCCAGCTCCATGGCCCCGGATACAAGGACCCAAGGGGCTTCCCCTGAAGGGGAGGGAGCAGCAGGCCCAGGCCGCCTTCTAAACCTGGGGATGCCACCTCAGCCCGGGGACCTGAAGCCTGGAGCAGGGAGCCCGTCCCCTGGCCGTAGCTCTAAGAAATGGACACTCCCTCCCCCATCACAGGGTGAACTCTGTAGGTAGCTGGGGAAGAGGAAGCAGGAGATAAAGGCCAGGAGAACACCGTCGGGACAGGAGGAAGGCTGCCACACACGGAGGGGGAGGGGGAGGGCTCCAGGAACTCCTCCCTAAACCTGCACGCTGCCCAACTGGGTACCTCCCCAGGGAAAAGGTCTCGAGGCGCGGGGGCCCAGCCCTCTTCAGTCTGCACGGAGACAGGAAGGTAAAAATAAGCTCGCAGAAGCAAAGGGAAGAGTATTCCACATGCATAACTGGCCAACATACAACCCAAACAGGACAGCAGGGGTTCCCAGGACCCACCCCGCCCCTGGCTTTCCCAGGCTCCGCCGGCTGGCCCACCTGAGGTGGGCTTCTGCCTTCCACGCTTGGCTTTAGCTGCTGTGACTAAGCTAGGGTGAGGTCTGCACAACCAGCTCCAAGTCTGCGTGGGGGCCTCGTCTTACACTCCCAGCCGGCGCCAAAAGTGGCCACTGGGGTGGGAATGGTACCTGGTGCCTCTCAAGCAGGCGCGGGATCCAGACAGTGGAGGCAGACACGCGCACTCAAGTAACACACTAAGCAGACGGTCCGTTCTGGCTCAAGACAGCCCCCACCCAGCCACACACACACAGGCCTGCGCCTGCTCCCCACCCCCACCCCTGCTTCCTGCACTGGCCAGCAGACCAACAGGAAAAACCATGTGAGGCAGTCCTCACGTCAGAGCCTGAAAGATCAGATCACGAAGTTACTGAGACAGAAAACTATGAGCAAAGCAGAACTGGCAGTCTATGTGAGCTGGAGTTCCGTGACGAAGGCTCAGTCTTCAGAAAAACTTAAAACCAGGCAAAGCAGTTATCGGCACCACCGCGTCCCCAGGGGCAGTGCCAGACGGCCGCTCTCCCAACCTCCAGGCCTCAACGTCAGGGGGTGCTCAAGTGCCTGCGCGGGCACCCTACCGTCAACCACTTACTCCACAAGGGCACACAGGGCGCAGGCCACGCCCCCGCAGCTGGAGCAGACGTGCACACACCGCCCACAGAGGGCACGCTCACACTGGCCACACGCTGCCTTCCCGTCCACGGCTCGCACGCACGAGGAGCAGGCTCTGGTCGCTGCCCCGGAGGGGTCTGTAAGAACGAAACGCCATCCGTCAGCCCTGCAGGGATCTGAAGTGCTGGAGGCTGTGGGGCCACCGACATCCCCTGACTGGACTCCCTGCAAGTGGGTCCTCCTGACACCCTACAAGAAAGCACGGCCCACAGACCCTTGTTCACTAGGGGACCCCAAGTGCTCGGGAGCATGTTACAGGGCTGGTTCCGTGACTCTGGGTTGAGCGCTCCTTCCATTCCCACTATTCAAATGTCGGTACTGGAAGGATCGGTTCTTCCCCACTGTGGCTTGTATGAGAACTCCTGTGGGCCCCGTCTCGTGTGTCCAGCACCCGTGTCTCAAAGTGTGGCCCTGCATCGCTGGTTAACAGAGCTCCTGGGCCCCAGTCCAGGCCCTGGGGAGGGAGGCAGCAGGGACTATGGCTCTTAACCAGCAACAAAGGTGGTCGTCTGAGCTGCACACCACACAGGCGCCGGACCGGCGGAGCCACCCAGCTGAGACTCTGGGTCTTGCTGCAGGTGGATCCTGATCCCCCAGCTAAACGCTGCTTCACATCCTGCAGGCTTGCATATCAGCCGGGGGTGGGTGGGGGTTAGAACCTCCTAAGGTCGGGAGCCTCCTGGTGCTCACCAGCTCCTCAGACCCCGGGGCCAGCTCCTGCCCCTGCAGGGAGGGGAGGAGAAGCTCCCAGGCAGACAGTGTCAGGAGTCAAGTGCTCAGATCCACCCTTAGCGCATGGCTGGGCAAGTGCCTGCTGTTGGCCTCACTCACCAGCTTCAGAGGCCTGGGCTTGGCTCCTGGTCAGTCGGCCATCTGGTCCAATCAGCATCTGCCCACGGGCTGCCCGAAGGGCCTCTGTGGGGCCGGGCTTTGGGGACTCCGGCAGGTCAACAATGGCACAGCCTTCCTCCCACAAGTGGTCCATGTAGGCCTGGGCCCCTCGAAAAAGGAGTTGCTTGGTTTTCTCTGAGGAAGAGAAATCAGTCCCAGTGTTCACAGCCCTGCGACGTGGAAGCCCTGGCACTGCCCCCTCACCCAGCCAGCTGCCGTGGCCAGGCCTCCTTTGTGCTGTCATCCAGCCGCCCCGGCCCAGGATGCTCCCTGGTGAGCTGGGGACCACTGGGTCTGCTCGCCCTTCCTTCCTTCCCCGGGCTCAGTGGCCACCTCCGCCAGGATGATCCTGCACCACGCAGCCCTCCCCAGGCTCCCTCTCATGACCTTCCACGCGGCTTTCCTGACAAGTGGCCTCACGTCACTGCTGTTTCTCTCCTGCCCGGCCCCCTGCAAGCCGGCTGGTGCATAGCACAGAGGACGCTCTGGGCTTCCGATCACTCATTCACACCCGGAGGCTCAGAGCGGGGCCTACAGCCCCGGCCAGCGTGCACCCCCTTCGCCTACCACAGAGCACGACAGAAACCGGCTCCTGACAAAGCGGTCCTGGAGCTCTGCGGACGCCTGTGGGCCCGGGACACTCCCACCTGAGAGCTGAACTGGTGGCTCGGCACCCGCAGCAGAGGCTCTCCGTCGCGCCACACGCCCGCCATCCATCGGGGCCTTTCACAAGATCAAACGCCCAACTCCAGCCCCCAGATGCTCTGTGATTTCTGCCTCGGCCCCACGAGGCCAGGCCCAACAGGCCCTGGAAGCCGTTGGCTCCGGGTGACGTGGACGGTGACGGTGACTCAAGTGGGCGGCTGGTGAGCCCTGCCCCACGCAGCTCCTCCTCCCCTTGTCCTGGGATCCCTTGACCCAGCAGTGGCCCGGGGTGACTGCCCGGCTGGAACGCCCAGGACCTCAAGGCAGCGGCAAAGAGCTGCACGGACCGGCCCCCGCTTGCAGGTAAGCTGCCTGCCGGCCAGCCCTGACCGGGTCAGCCCCAGGCCGCGCTCAGCTTTAGCACTCGAGGGCTCAGAAGGCCTCGTCTGCGACCCAGGGCTGCGCGGGAGGACCGGGGACAGCCGGGGAGGGCGACCCCGAGCCCCGCTCTGCAGCCACAAGCGCGGCGGCAGGGGAGACTCACCTCGCGCAGCTCCGGGTACTCACCGGCGCGGCCCGGCGCCCGCAGCGCCCGCAGCGCCCGCAGCGCCCGCAGCCCCCGCCCGCCGGCCCTCCTCCTCCTCCTCCCCCTCCCCGGGGCCTGCAGCGGGGCCGACGCGGGGCCGGGGCGACGCCGCCGGCTCGGGCCCCCGCGGGCGGGAGGGCGCCCCGCACTCACCGAAGACCTCCCGCGAGTGCTGCTCGCCGCACACGCCGCGGCTCAGCTCCCTCTGACCCACGCGGACCTTCAGCTGCAGGGGGGCCGCGTCCGCGAACGGACAGCCCCGCTTGGGCATGGCCGCCGGCCCCGAGCCGCGCAGCTCCGCCGCGCGCCTCGCCGCCACCCGTGACGTCACAGCCGCGCGCCAACGCGGCGCGGCGCGGGATAGGCCGGCAGCGAGGAAGGGGGCGGAGCTCGGCGGCGGCGCGGCGCGGGATAGGCTGGGGGAGAGGACGGGGGCGGGACCCGGCTGCGCGGGAAAAGCCGAAGGCCAGGGCGGGGGCGGGGTCCGACCGCGGCGCGGCACGCACGGAAGGCAGCGGCTTGGGGAGAGAGGCTCGGAGGGTGCGCCGCACTGGCAGGCCGGGGGCGGGGCTCGAGCGCGGCGCCGGATAGGCCGAGCGTAGCTTGGAGGCGGGGCCGGCGCGCCGGGGGCGGGCCTTGTGTAAAGCGCGCCGCGGGATAGGCCGCGGACGCCTGGCGTCGGCTCGCGGGGAATGGGCGGGGCCAGGGCGGGGCGGGCTGCGGCGCGGGATTGGCCGAGCGTAGGTTGGAGGCGGGGCCTACGCGCCGGGGGCGGGCCTTGCGTAAAGCGCGCCGCGGGATAGGCCGCGGTGGAGTGGGCGGGGCCGCGGCGGGCGGCGCGGGAGGGGCGGGGCGGCTCGGGGTTTGGCGCGGGGCGGAGCCGACGCGAGGGTTGAGACTGGTTCCCCGCCCTCGTCCAAGCCGCCGGCGCGGGAGGAGGATTCGCGCTCTCGGAGATGCGAGGTCGGAGGAGCTCGGCGTCCTCACGGAAGTGGGCATGCCGGTCGGCCGCGTTTCCGGGGCAGCGACGTCACTTCCGGCCGGCGGAGGGCGGCGCGGGGCCCGCTCGGCGGCCCCTGCGGGGTGTGGGCCTCGTCGTGCGGGGCTCGGGACGTTCTCTGGGGGCGCGTGGCCGCGCTTGGAGCCGCTTCGGGGCCTCCGAGGACGCACGCGGGGCCGAGTGGGTGTCGGGGGCCGGCGCGCCTCATGCCCACCTGCCGGCCGCGCCCGGGCCGGGGTCACGGCCGGGGTCACGACCGAGGTCACGGTCGGGGTCGCGGCGGGTGCTGAGGCTGGCGACACGGAGGGAGGAGGGAGGGAGGGAGCGTCGGCACCGAGGGGTCAGCGCGGCCCCGGCCCCGGGGAACCGAGGGGGTCAGCGCGGCCCCGGCCCCGGGGGCACCGAGGGGGTCAGCGCGGCCCCGACCCCGGGGGCACCGAGGGGGTCAGCGCGGCCCTGTCCGGAGGGCTGCAGAAGGACCCCGCGGCTCTACTGGGCGGCCGCCGACTGCGGGGAGCGCGGCATTTGCAGGAACCCGCAGGAAGCAGGAGGACCTGATGCTACGTGGGGTAAGCCAGAAGGACAGATGCCGGACTGTGCCACTAACCCGTGGCGCCTCACATCGTCAGGGGGTGGCGGTGGGATGGGGGCGTGGGAATCGGGGCGGTGCTGGCCGGAGGCCATCTGTGCGGGGAGGCCCCCCCCACCCCCACCCCCACCCAGCACCCCCCCCCGACGATACTGCGCTTGGAAGGTACTGAGAGCAGATGTCAGCTGCTGTCCCTGCAGCCGCGGCAACAAGAAGATGGGCCGCCATGTGTGAGCCGAGCTCGGCTGGTAAAGACCCTACTGTGCGTGCATCGGCTCGTCGCCCCGAACACCCGGTGCCCACACGGTGGTACGCGTGCCAGTAGGGCCTGTGTTACAACGTCAGTTCTGTCTCAACGCTAGGAAGGAAGCTTCTCTCCAGCTACAGTCCCGATAGGACGTGCAGGGAATCGGGTGATCCAGGAATCCCCAGGGCGGACACGGTTCAGCCTGTAACATGCCGGGCTCTGCGCTGGGCTCTGCGCTGGGCTCTGCGCTGGGCTCTCGGAGCGGCGTGGAGGACAGCCAGCGGGGTCCCTCCCCCCGGCTGGGACAGATGTCACCGAAAGGGAAGTACAGGGGGCTGTGGAGGAACAAGGTAAGGACACCCGCCCTGCCCAGGCCAGAGGATGCTCCGAGAACACTTGCCGCCCAGGGTCAGGCTGAGTGTGAAGCAGGTGCCGAGCGGCATAACCTCAGAAAGTGGGACGTTGCGGAAATGAACGTTCACCAGGTTGAGGAGGGAACACGCTTCCCCCTCCCAAGAGACACACCGCGGACACGGCTGGCAGGAGGTGCATTCTCGCCCGTGTCTGGTCAGGGTGGCCTCGGGGCCCTAAGATTTTGAGCAATGACCATCTCAGCCATCCCAGGGCTGGGCAGTCGCTGCGCTTGCATCCCTGTGAGCAACTTAAGTTGCAGCATAATTCAGTTACGGCGAAGTCGAACGGATGTGCACCCAGAGCAGTGCCCGGGTGAGCGAGGGACGGTGGCGTCCGTGACAACAAGCGCATACGCCTGTGTGGCCACAGGAGGCCTTGGCTCCGCTCCCCTCCCTGAAGCTCAGCCGCTGTCCTAGAGCCTCGCAGCACGCGGGCAGCTCACTCTGCAGACGCACGTGTGCGTTCGTGTTGGGCCCCTCAGCGCGCCGACTTTGAGCCCCTCGGCGAGGTTCCTTCGTTGCTGAGTGAGTTGGGTGTGTGCTGCTCCACCACTTGCTCACTTGCTGACCGACCTGGGCTGGCGCCTGGTTTGGGCTCTGGCGAAGGCAGCTCCCCTGGATCCCATCTAAGGATGTCTCTGGCCATCCAGCTCCCCTTACTGGTCAGCACCTCAGAGCAGGGTGGCCGAGTGCAGGTAAGTGAACGTCCAGAGAACTGGCAGCTTTTCAGGGCACTTGGAAGAGCCCAGCAACCTGGATCGATTAGGGATTTGTCTCCCTCATGTGTTGAGCTGAGACCACTGCAAGCCCCTCCATGCTGGGGCTGTTACGGGTGCAAAACAGAGAGCACCTTACCATTGCTCAGACCCTCCGACACCTGCTGCAAAGGGGGGCTGCGTGCCCCCGCCCACCCCTCAGGACAGCCTCCCGTCCCTGGGAGTGAGGAAGTTGGGGCCATGCAGGAATCGTCACCCCCGTAAATTGGTCTTTTCAGCCTGCAAAACGCTACAGTCACGTGAGGGCATCGCCCGAGGCTGCCTCTGCAAGATTTTGTCCGGAGGTGGAACAAAATCTTCAAGCGAAGGACTTAGCGGCCACTACAAGGTAGAGAATTGAAAATTTGGCAGCTAATTTAAATATGCAGGTCAACCTTCCAAAGCCAGGCTTGTAGCTTTTTATACAGAATGAAATGGTTTCTCTTTCTTTTGAAAAATGCCTACCCTGGGTGGCTGTCAGGGGCGTGCATCCCTCTGCTGTGGCCGGACGGCCCGCTCGCCCGGAGAAGCGTGTCCCCCTGGGGGCACCGAGGCCTGGGGACGGATCCTGCCTGCCTCGGGCCTCTCCTCCCATCCCCCTGCGCATCCCGAAAGGAAATTCTCCTCGGGAAACGGACCCCGTCAGCTGGTGCTTCTCCCACGGCCTCCGGGTAGCTGTGCTCTCGGCGACTGGAAGGCCGAGGAAGCAGCTGCGACCCGTGTTCCTGGCTTGTTTCACGTCGCCCAAGACTGTTCTGGACACCGTTTGGAGCCGTTTGCTAGAGTGCATGAAGGCCCAGGAGGCTCAGAATCGGGCCTGCTCACCAAGGATGCTGTCCCGCGGTTAGCGTGTCCTCGGTGTGAGCCAGCCCCGCTGGACCCGAACCTTCGGGCCCCGCGAGGTCCCCGGGAAAGCCAGCCCCGTGGGCACCGACCCACTTCCGCGAGCCCAGCTGCCAGCGCCAGGTTACAAATCCGGTCTCCCCGTCTAACTCCTTCCCTCACCAAAGCGATCTCCCCAGGACAGTTATTTTTCTCCATTTACCGCAGGCTCCGAAGAGCTGCTCAAGGGGGCTCCTCAGCTCCCAGCGGAGACCTCAGGAAGCTCGTGGCAGCTGTGGCCAGTTAACAAGTGACCTGCTCCAGCCAGTGACCTTTGGAGGGCTGAGGGCAGGTGCGCACGGCTGACATGAAGGGGGCTGCTGGGGCGCTGCCTGCACCCCCCACAGGGGCTCAGAGCTCAGGCGGCGGTGCCGCAAGGTTCCCCTCTGGGACGCACTGAATGCCTGCGGTCTGCCCACCTGGGCTCGCTCCCGCTTGCCCTCCAGACAAGCACACGGCTTGGCTGTGTGATCCCGGAAACCTGTGTCCCCCCGACTGGTCACGCCAAGCGTTAGTGTTCAGAAGTCAAGACAAGAGGACGGTCAGAGCCAGACACGTACTGGTCACCACCGTTCGGTGGCTACTGGATGGGTTTATTACTAAACTGCTCCAGCCGGCCACACCACCGTGGGACAATGCACGTGCCGTAAAAGTTCTCTGTTCTGAGTACTTTGGCTCATTTTAAATAGCAGGATTTAAAAAATAAAAATGTACACAACGCTGGCTGTCAGATGTTTGGGTCACCGTGGAAATCAGCTGAGCTGAAGGCTTAGGAACATAAAAGTACAGAAAATACTTCTTCCTCCTTTCGGGCGTGGACTTGGTGGCTGTGGATGCGGGATGGGGCCGCGGCTGCTGGCCAGCCCTGCCTTTGCCTAAAACAGCTGGATCATCGAGTCTCTTGATTTGCCGACACCGACCCATTTCACTGGAAGGGAAAGGGAGGCTCAGCCCCGGGTGTGGGGGCCGAGGGCAGGGTGGTGGCGGGGGCACGGGCACCCACCTGCCACTCCGATGTGATTCTCCACGAACCGGATGTAGTTCTGGGCCTGCGGGGGGAGGTCCTCCCACTTCCTGGCGCCCGTGGTGTCCGCCTTCCACCCAGGCAGCGTTTCGTATTCGACTTCGACCTTCTGTAGTATCTCCTGGTTCGCTGGGGAGACAGAGGTGGCGGGGGGGACCCATGTCCTGAAGACCTGGTGCCCATTCGGCAGGGGTGGGGGTAGCTGCTCGCCCTATTTGGCCAAGCGGCCCTGTTTGTGGTCTTCAGGGGGGTGGGTGAGGTGGTTCTCGGACATTGGCGTACCCCTTCCAGACCAGGGGACTCGTCCACCCCAGACACGGATCTGCCAAGTGCTGGCTCAGCTGCGGAATTCCACGGACCCCACTTGGAAATTCCTTTTTTTTTTTTAAGGTTTTATTTACCCATTTATTTAGAGAGAGAGCATTGAGTATGCGGAGCGAGGGGCAGAGAGAGAATGTCCTGCAGACCCTGCCCTGAGCACCGAGCCCGATGCAGGGCACGGATCCTCGGACCCGAGATCATGACCCAAGCCAAAATCAAGAGTTGGATGCTTAATGGGCTGAGCCACCCAGGTCCACCCCCCTTGGAAATTCTGAGGGTCCTGAAGCGTGAAGGGATCTGTGTGTCCTGTTCCCAGGGCAAGGACCCTGCTGCAGCCGGGACTCCGTGGCTCCCGGCATGTGGCTCCCAGTGGACGCCACCCATCCCTTACTGATGCAAGGCACTGGGACAAGCGGTCCTACTGCCAGTGTCCTCACTGCGTGCTCCCTGGGCCCCGGATCCCTGGGGTCACACCACCTCCCTGCTGTGCCTTCTCAAAGGCCAGGGGGGTCAGCAGGGCCGGGGACACGGGTGGACAGGACACATGCAGGTCCTGCAGCCAAGCGGCACTGGTGGTTCTACGCGTGCACTCGGGGAGCGTGAGCGCGGCTGCCCCGTGGCCGCGGGTAGGAAGTCGCTGGGGCGGGCGTCGAGGTGCGTAAGGAACTGGGCCGTCCAAGAAAACATGACCTGCGTGCTTTTAAAGAGGGGACGTGCGGTAGCCCACACCTGTCCAGGGAGCTTCCAGCGTGCCCCGGAGGTGGGCCTTGGGAGCACATAAGCGTCCCTGGGGCCTGGGGTTAGCAGGGGGCTGGCTCCCACCTGCCACCCCAGGTGTGTCCGTCCCTCTGAGCCCCTTCCCTGGGCTTCCCCGCAGCCAGCCGGTCCCCGCCCGTCCCCTCCCTGTCCCCACTCCATCCCCATGGGAGGGAAGAAGGGGGCTCCCCACAAGCACTCACTCTGCATACTTCCCGTGCAGACCAGTCCCTTCTCAGAAAAGCCACCGTACCCCGTACCCCGTACCTGGGAAATAGGGGATCCTCTTCCCGTTCAGCTTGTATGAGACGCCGACCTTCACCTCGTCCAGGGCATCCAGGATGTCCAGTTTCGTTAAGGCCAGCCTGTCCCCAACCAGCAGACGGCCACCCACTGGAGAAGCTGGGGCCGGGCTGGCCTTCTACCCTTGCGTCTCCCTTGCTGTTTATGGCCACCGGGAAACAGACAGCAGCCAGCAGCCCCGGTGACAGGCAGGCGGAGGGGGCCCTCACCTCGGGTGCCCCCACGGGACCCTGCTCCCTGCTCCCCTGACCCTGTGGGCCCTGCGATGGGGCCGCATTCAGCTCCTCTGCGGCCAGCACCCCCAGGGACATGCGGGAACTGTCCAGCCCCTGGTGGCAGCGACAGCGGCCGCCTCTGCCGGTTCTTCCTGGCATGGGCTCTGAGCCCAGGGCCTCATCCTGTCCTTCCTCCCGTCCAGGCCAGGCCTGAAAAGCCTCGCAGGTGGGTCTCTGTGCTGCCTGAGCCCGTGGGGGCGATGCCACCCTGTCCTCCGCTTTGCCGTGGCCTCCGCGCTCAGAGCGCAGCCTCTCTGGCACCTGCTCACGGTGTGGGGAGTGTCTCCCTCCGGCCGCCCAGTGCCCAACCCGGGCAGACCTAAGGGAGGTCTTGGCAGTCAGGTCCGGCCAAGCCTGGCGACGTCCCACTTAGAGGGCGTCGTGTCCGTGAGGACAGCTGCGTAGGCCGTCACGCCAGGTTCCTCTCCCTCCCGCGATGGCCGGCGTTAACCTCCTGCAGGTGCCAGGACGCCCTCTGGCCGCCTGCTGTCGCCCTCCCCACAGGTGCTCAGGAGCAGATGGCAGGCCAGCTCCGATGTCACCCCCGTCGCCCCGCCATGGCCGCCCCCCCCCCCCACATAGCCCGTGCTGGGAGGGCTGCTTAGTGCTGGGAGGGCTGCTTACGCGGTAAAGCCGTTGACCATGTGAGCGTATCTGAGGATCATCAGGTCCAACCAGCCGCAGCGCCTCTTCCTGCCCGTGGTCACCCCCCACTCGTGGCCACGGCTCTGCAGCAGGTCCCCGATTTCCTGCGTGACGGGCAGAGCAGCGAGGTCCCCCGCGGCATGAGGGGGGGGCCTGTGCCTGGCGTTTCTCTCTGTGCCTCCCCCTCCCCTCCTCCCCTTCCTCCCCTTCCCCTCCTCCCCTCCTCTTCCTTCTCCTCCCCTCCTCCTCTTCTCCTCCTCCCCTTCCTCCCCTCCTCCTCTTCCTCCTCCCTCCCCCTCCTCCCTCCCCCTCTCCCCCTTCTCCTCTCCTCCTCCTGCTGTCTAACCCTCTTCCCTCTCCCTGCTCCCCCCTGGGGACTGTTGGATGCTGTACCCCCTGACAGATCCTTCCTCGCGCCTGGCCTCCCCCGTCCCCACGTCCCTGGCAGGTGTGCCCTCAGCTGAGGCTCCCACTGGTGAGGCCGAGCTGACCAGCGGGGTCCCGTGTCCTTGAGCGCCTCCTCCTGGACACGTGGAGGACCCGGCCCTGGGGGCACGGCCGCCTCCTGCCTCCCCCCGCTATGGCCTGTGCAGGTACCTGAGGCGGGGGCGGCCCCATAGCTCAGCTTCAGGGGCAGGTGTGTGCTTGTTTCTGGTGAGGCCCTGTCCCTACGCCTGCTGCCCCTGCCCCGACTGAGCCACGGGGTGTTCTGGATGCGGCGCCCTCCCCTCCCCACACCGGCCTCACAGCCCCCGCTCAGGACGTGACCTTGGGCCCTTGTTAGGAAAGGCGGCCAGCGGCACCCTGAGGGCTCCCCGAGCTGCCCGCATGGGGTGCTCTGAAGGGCTGGTCCCCGGGGCTTCCCGGGAGCTTCTGTGGCACACGACCCGGCGGATGCCCGCCTCTGCCCTTGCCTGTGTCCCTGCTCTGCCCAGCACGGGGCCGGGCTCTGCCTCTGTGGCCCCTGCTGTGGCCCCCCGGCGCTGGGGACTCACGTTGATCTGCTCGGTGGGGAAGGCGCCAATGCCCACGCGTGTGGTGTAGGCCTTCACCACGCCGTAGACCTCGCCTATGTTCTGGGGGGGGATGCCCAGGCCCGTGCACACGCCGCCCACGGTGCAGTTGGATGACGTCACAAAGGGGTACGTCCCTGCAAGACAGAGCCGTCAGGGGCGCCTGCCACCCCTGCAGAGCAGCCCGGCCCAGGGCTCCGGCTTGGCAGAGGGCAGCGTCTGGGTCGGCCTCCTGCACGTCCCCTCGGCGGGTCTCCAGGGCGAGTGACCAAGGGACCCTCCCGGGGGAGTGACCTGTGTGGGCACTGTGCGTCGGGCCGCGGTGGCCCACGTAGGAGTCTGCGGGGGAATAGAGACAGAAGGTTGCCCCCGGCTCGGAGGGTGGGCGCTTCCCCTGCCTGTACGAGGTGGCCTTGGGGCTGGCGTGGCCGTGGGGTCAGGACGGGACATGCTGAGGGCCCACAGCTCTGGCCGCTCCCCTCCCGTCTAGGCCAGCTCTGTCGCTTGCCCCCTCCCAGCTGAAGCATGAGGACGACGGGCAGCAGCGTGGCCCCGGAAGGCAGCCCTGCACACCCGCTCAGCGGCCAGCCTGGTCCCCGGCAGGCAGCAAAGGGGGGATCGCGGGAGCAGCCGGGCCGGGCACCTACCGAAGTCAATATCAAGGAGGGCTGCGTTGGCACCTTCCACCAGGATTTTTTTTGGGGTGCCGTGGAGCGCCTCATACATAAAGTAGACACCGTCTCGGACCATGGGTCGGATCCGCTCTGCAAAGCCCTGTGGGGAGGCAGAGGAGGCCGCGGTGGGGCCAGGCCACGGCCCCCCACTCTGGGCCCTCCTGACGGCCGGACGCCCGGCACATTCCCTTCCGGAAAGGGGCCTGGCCTGCAACCTGTCCCGAGACCTGAGCCACCCCGGCCCTTCTGGGCATCATCTGTGACGCTCGCACCGGCCCCTCCTGCGGCCAAGGGCTGAACTGCACCCCCCGCCCCCCATCTGTTGAAGTCCTGACTGCCCACCCACCCCGCCCCCCGCACCTCAGAACGTGACTGTTTGGAGACAGGCCTTTATAACAAGGGGGTTACACTGAGGTCACTACGTGGGCCCCCATCCGGTGGCTGGCATCTTCACTGGCCTTGTTCACAGCGCCCAAGAGCCAGGAGCCCAGCTTTGGAAACTTCCGGAAGGGCTCTGTGCTCTCCTCATCGTGGCCCTGACCCAGTGCTGCCCCCGTGTGAGTCAGCCAGGCCCCAGCCTCTTTCCCCAGCACATCCCGGAAACGTCCCCTGCGGGAAAGTGGGGGGCCTGAGGGTCCCCTGCCTCTGGGGAGGCACCCTCCTGCCCTCACTGGCATGAGCTTGCACAGGGGCCCTGTGGTTGCCAAGAGGGCCGGCCACTCCATAGCAGTGCCCGGGACAGTGCACTCCCCGAGTGTTCCCTGGGCTGCTGTGCCCCCGCCATGCCCCCCCACACCAGGCCCTCCCCCCACATCCCTCCCTCCCCCACCACGCCAGCGCCCCTATCTACCTTGAGCTTTTTGAGTTGCCCCTCGACGTCCACTTCCAGGCTGGGGAACATGGACTGGTGCTGGCGGGCCAGGTTCTTGAATCTGCGGGGGCGACAGTGACTGCGACCCCTCGCCCCGCCTGGGTGTCCACGCCCTCAGCACTAGCCACGGTCCCCCCTGGGGCTGCGGCCGGCTCAGGTACCTGGCGGAAAAGTCATCAAAGTCCGACAGGAGGTCGCAGACGCGGAGGCCCGTGCGGGCAGCTTTGGAGGAGTAGGCGGGTCCGATCCCCTTCCTGGTGGTGCCGATACTGCAAGATGGGGCCGCCGTGAGCCTGGGGGGGGTCTGGGGGGGCTGATATGCAAGACGGGGCTGGGAAGGAGCCGGTCGCTCAGGGCCCTGGGCAAGCACCTCGGTGCCTGTTTGCACCCCTCGAAAATGGGGTTGAGCTGGAGGGGCCCTCCCCGGCAGTACCCCGGCAGTCTGGGGGTGCTGTGAGAGCCCACCGGCCCCTCCAGTGGCTGGCTGTCAGGGATCGGGGGCTGGGGCCCCCACAGGTGGTTGTGGGCCAGCCCTAACCCTGCCGTCATTCGGGACCTGGGGCTCTGAGACTTCCGGTCTGCATCAGGCCCCCCTGCCCCCTGGCCGGGCGGTGACGATGCTCTCTGGCCGCTGCTGCCTCCCGGGGGCTGGGTGTGCTGGCCACGCCCACCGTACCCACTGCCCGCCACCGCCCTGGCCCCGGGCTCAGGGAGTGGCCGCTCGGGACTGCCCCCGGCCGTCCTGTGCACGAGTGTGTGTGCGTACCTGTGTGCACACGGGTGTGAGTGCGTGCACACATGCGGCCAGTGAGTGTGTCACTTGATGGGGCAGGACGGCCACAGCCTCTCCCCGCCCTGGCGTGGAGAACCAGTCCCACGCACGTTCTCATGCATATCTTTGGAGGACAAAGGAATGGGCGTGGGTGCTGGTGGGGCAGGGGTTCGGGTGCCCTGGTGGCGCTGTGGCCCGTGTGTGTGTGTGTGTGTGTGTGTGTGTGTGTGTGTGTGTGGTCAGGCTGGGCTGGGATGCCCGCGGTCGTGCTGGCTTGGGGTGGACCCCGCTCCCCTCTGGGCACACCCCAGAGCTCCCAGACTGGAAAGCCACCGAGATACTCACTTCTTCCCCTCCTGGGCTTGCCGCTGCACTTCCTGCAGCCCGTCCACCGCCTGGTGAAAGTCAAACACTGCGCGGCCAGGCGAGGGTCCCCGAGCGGGAGACAGACACAGGGTTACGGGGCTCCCCTGCGCTCGGCCGGGCCGCCAGGCCAAGTGGCCCCACTTGAAAGGGGACTAGAACCGCCTGTGCCCAGCGCAGTCTCACAGGGGACCGTGGTGAGCCCCTTGGGCCTGTTCTCCCTCTGCCGAGGGTCCTGTGATCCCGACCCCCTGCCCGCTCTGAAGGTCCTGGAGAAGGCCCCGTGGAGCTGCGTGGGCTCCGCAGGTGGCGGGGCCGCAGGCGGGAGGGGGTCGCGCGGCAGGTGGTGGCACCCGGCCTGCACCCGGCCCGGGCGTGCTTACCGAGGTGGGCGCGGTCCGAGATGACCAGCCTCTTCTCCCAGTCCTTCAGACCTGCGGTCACGCGGCACGCGGTCAGCCGTCACGGCAAGAGGGCCAGGCTGGCCCCGCTCCCCGCCACCCGCGGGCAAGAGAACACGAAGGTCGCCCAGGCTATCTCCCCCTGCAGAGGGCCCGGAGTCTCCCCCAGGGCCGCCCCACCTCTCCCCGGGGGGCCTCTGTCCTGGCACGTCCCGGGCTCGTGTCCAGGCTCAGGCTCCCCATGGCTCCTCTCGCTCCTGCCCTGCGCTCCGGCCCCGAGGCCGAGGCCCGCTTCCTCCTCGGACCCCGTCAGGGTGTCAGGGCGTCAGGGCGGCTGCCTCTCGATAGCCTTCGGGGGGAGCAGCTTGCCGTGACGCCCTGGCCAGTGGCCTCGGCCACTGCCTGTCCCCAGGAGCCCCCAGGAGCCACATCCTTCCCTGTAGGCGGGGCCGGCCCAGCGGTCCCCAGTCCTGGCCGGACATCAGGGTTTCCTGGGGAGCTTCATCAAATTCCAGGGCTTGCTGACTGTGAACCGCCCGGTGCCACACCTGTCCTGCAAGCTCCCGCAAACGCTGAGCCCCCCGGCAGCCAGAGTCCGGGGCCTTGGGCTGCCCTGCTCTCCGCATCCTGGGCCAAGACCAGCTTTCTGCACAGCCAAAGCCCGCGGGAGGCGGGTGGGGCCCGGAGAGCTGGGGAAGCTGACCCCACCCCTGCCCTTCCAGAACCCACCCCGGGGGCGCTCCCCAACACGCCGCTGGGGCCTGGCCCGGGCCGGGGAGCACGGGTGGGGACTCGGACCTACCTTTCTTCTCATTCTTTTCTGCTTCTTCGAACAAGCCCGGTAAGTGGACGACCACCCCGTTGCCTGCAACACACCACAGGGGGCTGGAGCGTTTGTTGGCCGCCGGCCGCTTAGCTTCAAGGCCGCACGAAGCGTGTGCCCCCTCGCTCACAGCAGCCCTGTCCCCAGGCCGTGGGCGACCCAGGCCTCCAACCTGCGCGCAGACAGGTGAAGCACGGGGGCTCCAGCACACACTGGAACCCTGCTCAGCCTAAAAAGGAAGGAAATTCTGGCACCTTCCATGGCACGGATGGGCCTTGAGGACACGGTGCCGAGTGACAAGGCAGGTCACCGAAGGACACAGCCCTGTGTGATTCCACTCACAGGAGGTCCCTGGGGGAGTCGATCGATGCACAGGGACAGGAAGCCGAGGATGCGCCAGGGGGGTTAGTATATAAAGGGGACGGAGCCTCAGGTTGGCGAGATGGAAGGTTCTGGAGACGACAGTGGTGGTGGGTGCGAAACAGTGTGAACCTGCTTCACGCCCGCGAGCTCTGTGCCTAGCAATGGCTAAGATGGCAAATTTGTGTTGTGTGTATTCATCACAACAAAAGAGGGGGCCTGGTGAAGCATCTGCAGAGCCCGAGGCTGGAGGAGCGGGTGCGGTGGGAGGGCCTCCAGCAACGGCTCGGGGGCACTTCCTGCAGTGGCCACAAGGCTCCAAGGCTGGATTGTGTTGCGTCCCATGGCACATAGATTGTACCTTGGTGGGGCTGGTGCAGTTTTCTTGCACAGCACGAAGATGGGAAGGCAGGAGAATCGCAGCCCCCAGCCCTTCCCGGGGGCCGGGCAGGGGCTCTGGGGAGCCGCGTCTTCTCTATCCACATTCACCAGAAGTGGGGTCCACATAGATGTTTCACGCGGGCAGAGCCTGAGGCCCGAGAAGGACGGGGACGCGCCCAGGTCACACCGCACGATAGCGTGGGGTCCAGGCTAGAGCGAAATGCTAGCCCTCTTGTCTTAGAGCGAAGGCAACCGGGCCGGGCCACCTGCTGCCTTCCCAGGAGGAGCCCCCGGCCCCCACCCCCGGCCCCGCCAAGCCTGCCGGTGGCACCGCCTGGGCCCGAGGAGACCAGACATGGGTCCAGGTGGGAGTGGCGCAGACTGCAAGCCACGCCGAGTACAAAAGGTCACCTAAATGCCACGGTGTCCTGAGATGACAGCCGGGCAGGCCCGGCGAATGTCGCAAGTGGAGCCCGAGTGCCGGCACGTTCGCCCCCTGCAGAGCACGCCGGTGGCCAAGCCGAGCCCCCTCGACGCTCCCTAGTGACCACCCAGCCTGGGCTCCGACACCGGGCGCAGCACCTCTCATCAAGCACGGCCTCTGTGGCCTCGTTTCCCACCACGTGGCCCTGGAGAAGGCTGGGTCAGAGTCCCCCCGAGTCCCCCGCCTCCCCAGGGCACCGGCTGGGCCCCCGAGGTGAACTCGCCCACGGCAGCGGGCCCGAGTCTGCACCCAGGTGGGGGAGGCTCGCGGCGCCCTCAGCTCGGCCTGTCCACACGCAGCTCCTCGGCCAACACTTGCCCTGAGTCCTCACCAGGCCCACACCCCCACCCACCAGGGGGGGGCGGGGGCACAGGAGTCCCCAGCGTGGCCTTGCTGCGTCGTGGACGGGGCCAGAGGAAAGGTCCGGGACGCAGTGGGAGGCCATCCCGGCGGCCTGGCCGGGGTCGGGCAGTACTGGGGGCCGCCTGGGGGGGAGGCTCAGGCTAAGAGCTGACCTCAGGACAGGCGGTCAGGTGGTGGCCAGAGGGGCGGTGGGGGGGAGACAGAGCAAGAGACCCCACAGTCCTAGAGGCCGGGGGTGCTAGCCGGCCGGGCCTCCGCCCCTGCAGCAGGGGTCTGGCCACTGCTCGCACACACACACCTGCTTGCTGCACCCCTGCGCGTACCCCCCCGCACGGCACACTTGCTCACGTCCTCACACCCACACGCCCGCACAGGTGTGCAGCCCTCGCGGTCACTCGCACGCCGCTCAGCAGGGCCTCCTGCCCTCTCTCCCTCCGGCCAGGCTGGATGGCACCCAGGCCCACCCCGCCGACACACTCGGGACCCCGGGCCGGGGGCACTCACCGATGAAGGACACGGCCTTGGTGTTGATGATGCCGCTGGGCAACAGGTGGAAGTCGTACTCCCTGCCGTCCACCACTACGGTGTGGCCAGCGTTGTTGCCCCCCTGGGAACAGAAACCTGGCTGAGTGTGCAGGCACCTGCGGGCGTGGACCTCCCCTGGGCGGGCCTGCCCAGCCTCACCCTGGACCAGCTCCAATCACGTCGGGAGCCAAGTCTGGGAGGCTTAGGGCAGTGGGTCTGTCCCCCGGGGCCCCAGGATGCTGTCCACGCGGTGGCTGGCTCTGACGGATGTCTGGGTACGCCAGGTTAGTGAGGGGCAGCGGGCCCAGCCTCAGGCAGACCCCCCCTCCCCGCTCTGCCCTGGCGCTGACGCCCCTCGCACGGGCATCCTACACAACCACTGCCACCACCATGGGGTGGGGGTGGGGGGCTGGGGCCGTGGCCTCCATCGGCTCACCCAGGACCTGGGTCCCCAGAGAAGGGAGGTGGCAGCGGGATCCGGGCCGGTGGGGACACAGGCCCTCTGCCTCTGCAGACGCTCCCCCACGGCCACTCCCTGCCTGCTGCAGCCGGGGCCAGACACTGCCCCCCCGCCCGCGCTCTCCCCATGCCCAGTGCCAACGTCAGCTGGCCCGAGGACACACACAGACGAGCACTGTCGGGCACAGCCGCACCTTTGTTGGGGGTAAACACGGGCACCTAGGAACAGGCAGGGGCCATCGTGGGCCAGTGGGCGTCAGATGACCCCGGGCAGCCCCAGGGCCCAGACGTCAGACCACGATCCACTCCCAGGGCCACGGGCCCGCCCCAGGATGCCGAGCCTGGGGCCTGCTGACCGCCGGGAGGGTCGTCCCAGCAGCTCTGCAGAGGCCCTGGGGACCTTCCTGGAGAGACCCTGGTCTGCCCTCCCCCAGGTGGCAAGTTTGGGGCAGGAACACCCCCCTGCTGTCCTTAGGCTTTAGCCCGATTGCGAAGGGTCGTCTGCAGGCCCAAGGAGAGCCGGGCCAGGGGCTGGGGCTGGGGTCACAGCTCGCAAGCTCCGGCCCAGTGGGGAAAACCAGCTGGAGGGAGGAGCTTGTCCAGGGTCCCGGGAGAGACGGGTGAGGACGGTGAGGACATGTGGCTCAGCTCCAGATCCACCGCCCCTGCCCGACACTCACAGTCCCCCGTGGACGCCCCTGCATGATGCCTCCCGGGACGCAGGGATCTGAGAAGGGGAACCTGGCCAGCTCTGACCCTTCCTGCCCCTGCAGGAGTCCAGTGGGCCTGCCCTCCTTGGCACCAGGGGGTCGGCACCAGGCCCGGCAGGGAGCCCCCGGACACCCACAGGGCCTGTACCAGAGTGGTGCCCATAGGCCGTTCAGTGCAGACACCCCCCACAGCTAGAGAGTGTGGCCTCTGCTGCCCTCCTTGGTACCTCGTCCCCACCAGGCCCCAAAACCTGGAGAACAGAGAGCCCCGAGAGCATCCTCCCAGCACCCCTTCTCTGCACCCCTCAGCCCCACCCCACCGGGGTCCTGAGTCTCGTGCAGCGCGTCTCCCGGGGCCACTCCCAGGCCCGAGGGACCAGCTCCTGCAGCCCCGCTGGGAGGCAGTGGCGCCCCGTGAAGGCCAGAGCTTCGGGCCCCACGTCTGCTCTGGCTCCGCAGGTGCAGGCCCCGGGAACGGGAACGGGGTGGGCTCAGCTGGCCCAGAGAGGCTCCCACCTCCTGGGAGGCAACGGGGTGTGTGTGGGGCTGTGAGTGTGCACTGGGTGGGGGTGCTGCGAAGGGGCTCGGGGCTGCCCCTGGGGTGCCCACTCCCCCTCTGCACACCCACGGCTCCGTGAGGCTCCCCCGTGAGCACATCCTGCATACGTGTCACCCACACACATACCCCTGCTCCCCAGCATCTGTCCCGTTCCGGCCCTCATCCTGAGCACCCTGTGGTCGGCTTGGATGGCCTTCCGCTGACCTCTGACCTGCCCCCACCCTCACAACCCACTCAGCCGGCACCGCCCCCCTCCTGTTCTCTCTGAACCCCCCACGACACGGGTCTCCATGCTGCTCTGGACGGCTCCGTTGGCCACAGTGCCCCCTTGGCCTTCGTCCCCGGGGACGCACCACCCTGGCTGGCTGTCCCGTGATGCAGCCCCCTGCCCCCCACCCCCATCCCGTCAGCTTTGAGGGGCCCAGACCTCTGAGCTCCAGACTCCCCGTCTCCCCAACATTGCTGATCTTGTGTCCCTGACAGCCCCGGCCCCATCCCTGCCGGCCTCCCCAGCCCAGCTCACTGGAGAGGGACCAGCTCGTCCACCTGTGTCCATCGTCCATCCCCAGCTCTGCTCCGACTGCCACACAAGTGGACCAAAGGAGCAAGGAGGTGAGGAGGGGAGCGGGGAGCTTCCCTGAGGCCCTGGAGCCGCTCCCGGCCAGCCCTGCGTGAGGCTGGGGTCCGGCTGAGTCTGGGTCCTGGGCCACTGGAGCAGCCGGTTTTATCAATCAGGATCCTGTACCGCACACAGCAAGGAGCCGGCTCCCAGGGTGGAGACACCGGTGACCAACCCCCGGCCTCCTGCCCGTCAGGGTAAACCTGAAGTCCACCCACCTATGCAGCGCTTGACCTCGTCTCACTCACGCGTCCAACCCAAACACAAAGTTGCCCTCTGCACAGTGAGGCACTGGGGCAGGTCGGGGGAGCCAGAGGTCGCGGGCTCCGGGGGGGTATGCGGGTCTCACCTGCCCGGGGCGGACGTGCCCAAGGCCACAAGGGGCTGTGTAAGCCGGGGGACCCTCCCTCTAGAGCCCCCGCTGCGTGACCAGTGCCATCAGAGGGTGCAGACACGCAGGGCAGGCCCGCTTCTGGCAGCGACACCAGCCACTCCTGGCCCCGCTCCCCATGGAGGGCCCTGAGCAGTCTGGGGTTCGAGGTGATCCCCACCTGGAGAAAGAGTTCCCAGGACACCAACAAGCAGCGGGACGTGGAGGGGTGACCTGGCTGGCCCCCGCCCCTTCAGGATGGGGTGGTGGCATAGACTGCGGTGGAAACCGAGAGAAACCCACCACCGCACCCTGTATGGTGCCCGGTCACGTGTGAAGCCCCAGGGCCACTTACAGGCAGCTGGGACGGAGGGAATTTTAAACCTCTACCCTGGTGGTCCTGGGCAAAGTGACTTCGGAAACGGAGGAAGGGCTGGGCGTGAGCAGCTGGCCGCGTGGGCCTGGGGCCGACTCCAGGCCGGGGAGACGGCCGAGCAGGGGGACACCGGCCGACCCGGAGAATGAGCCCAGTGGAGGTGTGGGGACCCCATGGGGCACCCAATGCCATGCAAAGACAGTGCAGAGAACAGGGGGTGCCAGAGCCACTGGAGGCCAGCAGCGGTCCCCAGGGGAGCCTGCACCCCAACCAGCAAAGGGAGGCCTTCACGGTCATGCCCCGACCCCAGCACCCCAGGGCAGCCCCACAGACCCAGGATGCTCGGGGTGCATGAGGGGCTGCCAGGGTACCACGGGGACGGCATCAGCCGTGGGACATGTGGGATCTGTGCAGTGAGAAGGGGAGGCTGTCCCCCACCTGGAGAAGGAAACAGCAGGAGGGACCCAAGCCCGAGGCCAGGACGGTAGTGCTGACCACAGGCCCCACGTGATGGGCAGCAAAGAAGCCGGGATGGCTGTGGGGGTGCAGGTGGGTCTGGCCCCAGACCGCGGACGTGTGCCGAGTCGGAGAAGGGGAGACACGGGCCCGAGGGCGGCGAGGGTCAGCAGAGGCAGAGGCGGAGTGGAGCCGGGCAGCTGTGGGGGATGGAGCTGCCACTCGGGACGGCCCCGGGCCCAAGTGACAGGCCAGGTGACCCTCTGGTCACTGGGGCTGGCCGGCTTCAGCCCTTCCAGGCAGCCACCCAGACGGGACTCGTGCCCTCCGCAGGTGCCCTGCCGCCTGCTTCCCGGGGCCCCTTGCTCCCACGTGCCGCCAGGCTCCCGGGGTCAGAGCGGGTTTGGCTCCGTGCACCTGTGGCCAAGACTGTGGGCGTCCTGCGCACACGCCTAGGTAAGGGGCAGCTGCAGCCTTCCCCAGGGCGAGGGCTGGGCCTCGTCTGTGCGGCCCAACGGCCCCAGGTCTCCGAGGACCCACACGCGCCGCTCGTTCTCACTCCTCAACTGTTCCCTGCCTCACCAGCGGGTCAGGCGGCCGGGGAGGGGGCCAAGGCGCTGCGGGCTCCTGGGGCGGCCCCCAGCTACCCCCTGTGAGTCAGCCGGGGCTCCTGCAGGGGGACACGCATCTAATCTCGGTCTGAGAAGTCAGAGGAGGTGAGGGGGCGCTGCCCCCCGGGCCCCCAGGTCAGCTGACTGGCGCTCCAGCCTGCTCTGCGGCCGAGCAAGACTCTGCCCAGTGACAGATGGGGGACGGCAGGGCCTGGCCTGCTGGCCCAGGTGGCAGCGCGGGGAGGCCCCACTCCATGGCCAGGAAGGCCTGCAAAGCGCCCCAGTCTCTTCAGGACGGAGACGGGCCACCTGTAGACTTGAGAGGCTCCCCGGAGCCAGCAGGTCCCAGGGCGGGTGCTGGTACCATGTGCCTGGCTGCGGAGGGACAAGGGCCGCCGGCCCATGCAGGAGGGCACCCCGAGGCCTCCCTGGCACCCGGAGGCTCTCCGGGGCCGGGGCGGGCGTGCTGGCCTGGCCCGGGGCGGAGGGGGTGTGTGGGGGTCTGTCCTGGTCCCAGGAAGCACCTTCCAGGAATGTGCTGTCTGCCCCGGGGCAGGCGAGGCCAGACAGCAGCTGAGGCGTTCCCTGTGCCAAGCGCTGGGCCCAGGTCCTTCCCCGGGGGGTGTGCCCCAGCCCCAGCCCTCCTGGCAGGAGCTCGGGAATGAGGCCACAGGCCGGGCGAGCAGCTGGGGGGGGCCTTCCCCTTGGGGCAGCCCTCCTGGGCCTGGCTCTGAACCCCAGCCCGGCCGAAGCCTGCACCCACGCTGGCCCCTCTGTGCCCAGCTCTAAGTCGGCCCAGGCAGCAAGCGTGGCTCTGGGCTCTGGCGCGGGGGCAGGGGCCCCAAGGGAGACCCGTGAGAGCGGCCCGCAGCTGGCAGGGGCCACCCTGGGCTCCTGGGGACACAGCCTGCGTCTGGCCTCCCCCGCGGTCACCCTGGCCAGCCGTCCCCGGCCCCTCCCGCTCCCCCGAGGCTGGCCGGGACCCTCCTTGCCCCTGGCCTGTCTGGGTCCCGGCCCACTGTCCTGCCCTCGCCTCTGCCTCCTCTTGGCCAGGCCCCCGGGGGCCACCCCCTGGCCAGACCCAGACAGAGCGGGGAGGGAGGGCGTCTCAAACCAGCCAGGAGCTGGGGGGCCCACCCCGCCCCCAAGCGAGGGCCGGTGTCACACCCCAGGCGCACCCCACCCCACCCCCTGAAGATCGGGTGTCCCCAGCTCAGCACAGGTATTTATAGCTCCTCCCTGGCCGCGGCCCGAGGGGTGGGGCTGGCGGGGAAGGCGGTCCGGGACCCGGGCGGGGGAGGGGAGCGTGTGCGGGCGGAGGGGTCCGGGCAGGGCGTCCAGGAAGGGGAGGCATCCAAGAGGCGTGTCCAGGTCGGGGCGGGGAGGACAGGGAGGACAGGGTCCCCGGGCCGCGGAGGAGGGGGCTCGCTGGGGGGGCCCGCACCTGGCAGCGGCTGACGATGTCGGCGTCCGTGGCCAGCAGGTCCACCACCTTGCCTTTGCCCTCGTCCCCCCACTGCGCGCCCAGCACCACGGTCACCCGGGAGCCCGTCGCCGCCGCCTCCTGCTGCAGCCGCCCCCGCTTGACGCCTCCTGTGCCGGGGGGCCGGTCGTTGGAGGCGCGGGTCCCCGACATGTCGGTCTGGCTCCTCTGCTGCGCTGGGCCACAGGACGGCCCCGCAGCCGCGCCACTAAAAGGAGCCGGCCCGGGGCAGGGGGCGGGCCGGGGGCGGGCCTGGCGGGCGCACTGGCGCCTCTCGGTGACCTCCAGGCCGCTGGGTCCCGCCCCCGCCCGCCCAGCCACCGCGGGGCGCCGTGTGGGGCTGCGGGCACCTCCTTCTGGAGCTGGGGGCCCAAGGACAGACCGTGGGCCCCCAGACCCAGGCTTCTCCTGCGTGAGCGCTAACGGGGCACCTGTGCTGCCCTGCTCCCAGACCTGGGTCCCCACTCCACCGCGTCCCCATCAGGCCTAGGACCTCAGGGTCTTAGAAACGCGGGGTGGGGGGGGCTCTCTCCAGGTCAGGAGTGCCACTTGTAAAAGGGGAGCGTGTCCTCACGCTCCACCTGGAGAGTCTGCATCCTTGGGCGCTCGGGGCCCGCACCTGCCCTGAGGTGACCCTGGGTCCCCTGGACTGATGCATGTGCTCTGGCGGCCAAGGAGAGAGAGGACAGCGTGTCCCCTCCCCCAACACTCCCACCCATTCTCTCAGGGGCTCCGCGCCCAGCACAGGCATGCGGTGGCGGTGGCGGCAGCAACAGGAGCAGCCGGCAGGCTCCACCAGGCGGCGCAGCCTCTGGTCTGCAGGACCCAGAGCCCAGGGAGACGGACCGTGATGGCAGGGCCACCTGGCCGGGAGAGAGACAGCCAGGGATGCTCCCCAGCCCCACGCGGCCGGGGTCTCCAACAGGCCCCACACCAGACCCCTTTCCTGGCCCGCCTACCAAGGGACTGGGCTTCCAGAGACCATTTGCGACAGTCTGCTGGGCGCCCGTGTTCCCACCATCTGCTCCACCCCCTGGCCCACATGGAGCCCCGACAGCCCATGTGGACCCGGCTTGGGACATGGCCAGCCCCTCTGGGAGCAGGGGCCAGCGATGGAGCCCTGGGGCAGGAGCGCTTGATTAGCCCGTCCCCCCAGGGCCAGGAGCCAGTGCCCCTTCTCTTTGGGGGGTGGGGGACGGCATCTCAGGACAGAGGGACCTGCCGCCCAGACGTTAACCTGTGGCCAGGGCTCAGAGCCGCTGGGCTCCGTGGGTGCCCGGGGGACCAGAAGCCCCCATGGAGGGAGAGTGGTCACACCGAGGTCACTCACAGACGGTCCCCGCAGAGGCCAGCGCTGCCAGCCGCCCCCCTCGGTCCTCCCGCTGGGGCCCTGACCCTGACCCCTCCGGGTCCTGGCCCTGTTCTCTCACATGGGGACACCAACAATTCCTTTCTCCCAGCACTGCGAGGGGGGGACGGGGGGACAAACACCACAATGCAAGCGACAAGTGGGGTGTGAGGGGCAGGCTTCACCTTGCCTTCCTGGGTGGCAGCACCTGCCCCCGCCCCCCGACACTGCTCCCCGCCCGCGGGAGGGGCTGAGCGGGGCCAGGAGGGCCGCGGACTCTGGGTCTGCATGCTCCGAAGGCAGGCCAGGGTGAGCCCCGACGGCTCGGCCGGCGGGAGCGAGCAGCGGGACAGGAGCTGGAGCTCGGAAGCCTGCAGTGTGGACCGGGAAAAGGCAGGATTGTCGCCGAAGGGACCACCAACGTGGGAGGAAGGGCTGTTTGCTTGTTTCCAGAAGGCAGCTGAGGCTCCTGGACGCCCGTGGGGCTTGTGGAGGGGCGGGCGCCGAGCCGGAGTCCTGTCACATGCGCGTGTCTCCCTCTGCTGCAGGGGGTGCGGGCTCGGGGCCCTTGGGGGGGGGGCACCCGCAGGTCCCGCGGGATCTGCAGGGCCAAGGCCAGCCGGCAGGGGCGCAGCTCCCCTACACCGGGGCCGGGGCCTATAAATAGCCCAGGGCCTGGGGGGAGTCAGGCTTTTCTATAAACAGCCCGTCCTGGCCCAGCAGCTGGGGCCCCGCCAGTCACACGGCCCGGCCTGAATTAGAACGGGCCCCCCTGCCACGGCCTGTGCACCGTGGGCCCGTCGTCCCCAGGGCAATGGCAGTACAGGTCGCCGACCTTGGGGGGCTCACCGCGTGACCTCTGGGCCCCCCCGCTCCGGGGGCAGAGCGCACCCCAGGACCACAGGGCACACGGTGGTCCCCACACAGCCCTTATGCGCACCCGCACGGCCGCCCGTGCCCGGAGCGCCAAATAGGGCCTGGCGGGGACGACACACTGGGCCGCCGCTTTGCGGTCTTGTAAAAAGTCAAAACCTCAGCCTATGAGAAAGGAAAGCCCACGTCCACAGCACCTTCACTCGGAAACACCCCCGGGTGGGGGGCCGGGGGGCGTCACCCGAGGAGGCAGGGCCAGGCCACCCGGACGGGCCGGGTGTTACTCAGCCACGAAGAGGAATGGAGTGTCCACACACGCTGCCACACCACGGATCTCGAAGACACGCTACGTGGGAGTCACCGGCATGTGACTTTGCAGGAAACGTCCACAGAAAACCAATCTATGGGGCAGCCCGGGTGGCTCAGCGGTTTAGCGCCTGCCCTCGGCCCAGGGTGTGATCCTGGGGACCCGGGATCGAGTCCCACATCGGGCTTCCTGCGTGGGGCCTGCTTCTCCCTCTGCCTGTGTCTCTGCCTCTCTCTGTGTGGGTCTCTCATGAATAAATAAAATCTTAAAAAAAAAAAAAGGAAGCCAATGTATCAAAACAGAGAGCAGATTTGGGGGCTGGCAGAGGCAGCATGGGGAGTGACTGCTAAGTGGACTTTCAGAGGATGATGGAATATTCTAGAACTGGACCATGGTGCTTGGACACCTCGTAAATCTGAAGAGTCACTACCTTTACACCAACGGGGGGTGAGCCTCCTGTAAGGGGCGTGCTCGCCTCCCGCACCGGGGTCTGCTCAGCACCCGCTCGGCCCCGGGTGCTCTGTGAGGCAGGCAGCCCCCCCCCACTCCCCATACAGGGCACTGCCTGCCCCCCCCCCCCCCCGCACGTTCGCCCGCCGCTCTGAACGCCACACAGCCACTCCCTGGGCCAGTTCTCCTTTATTGGTCTGAGCCTCTCCAGACGCCAGCCTTGGGCTACCTCTCAGCCCGGGGGCGTCGCGGCCGGCTCTCCGGAGGAGGTGGCGGTGGCAGGGTGGGTCACTCCGTTGACAAGGTGGCCAGGCCCTGGCCGTGGCAGCGAGGGCGGACGCCGTGCTACCCCAGGGCTGGATGTACCGGGATGGGGGCCAACTCCGTGGGATCGCCCGCCGGTCTGCGGAGCAGGGGGGCCGTGGCCTGTTTGTGCGGATGCTGGCCAGCCCGCCCTACCCAAGGCCCTAGGGTCCTCCCTCCCTCCCTCCCACGCACCCACGCACAACTCAGCTACCACAGAAGAGCAGAAGGGCATACGCAATCCTATTTCAGTTAAAACCCGCTCTGCTCCAGCGCAGCTGAACAGGTGGAGGCGCAGAGCGGGAGCAGGGGGCCGGGGCCGGGGCCTGGGACGGGCGGCGGCAGGGTCGGGGGCTCCCGTGGCTTTGTGGGGAGAGGGCTCGAGGGCCGGTCTCCAGAAACATCCGGGGCCGCGTGGCTGGAGGCCTGTAAGCTGGCGCCCTGGGGACTCGGCCCCTGCCCTGGGGACTCAGCCCTGCGGGCAGCGCTGTGGTGCATGCGGGTGTGGGTGCAGGCGCGGCCATCGGCATTCAGGAAGCAGACCGCGGGGTGCTGGGGCGTGCAGGCTGTCTAGGAGGGGCCGGGGCCGGGGCCGGGCCTGTTGGGGTCTCGGCCAGAATGCCCCAAGAAGCTCGGGGAGCCCCACGTCCCTGGAGGGTAAGGCACAGAGTTTTGGTTTCCCAGGGGCCCGGTTCCAGCCTGGCCCAGGGGAGCCCCACTCAGCGGCACATCCGGTGACCCATGCTGGGGGGGGCAGCCGCGGGCACGCTCACTTGGCTTTGGGCTTAAGGCTGAGGCCTGCGGAGCGAGAGGAAACGGCAGCGTTAGCAGGTGCGCGGGGCCGGGCTCTGGACGTCGTCACGTCGTCGTCGTCGTCGTCACCACTGCCCCATGGCCGCACTGGGTGCCCCCCGGGTCCCCCCAACCCCGGGCCCTTGCCCTTGGGCAGCAAGACCCTTCCAGGCGGAAGGTGCGGGGATGGCCCCCAGCCAGCTGGCTCCTGTCCACCTGCACCTGCCCGGGCTGGATTCACAGCCTGCTCTGTTCCTGCCCCCCTGCCTCTCCCCTACCTTGCCCCTGTTCTCTCCCCCCCCCCAGCTCAGCTCTCCTCCCTCCCCCTTATTCTCTCCCTCTTCTCCCCTGCTCTCTCCTCCACCCTGGCTCAACGTTCCCCCTCCCCTGTTTTCTCCCCCCTCCGCTCCCCCCCAGCTCAGCTCTCCCCCTCCTCCCTGTTCTCTCCCCCAGCTCAGCTCTCCCCCTCCCCATTCTCTCCCCTCAGCTCACCTTTCCTCCCTTCCCCTGTTCTCCCCCCAGCTCAGCTCTCCCCCCTCTCCCCTGTTTTCCCCCCCAGCTCAGCTCTCCCCACTCCCCCCCCGTTCTCTCCCCCCAGGCCCAGGCCACACCACCTCCCCTCATCAATCCCCACTGCTGCGTCTCCCCACAGCATCCTCAGCTGCATCCCGAGCAGCCCCTTACACTGGAGGCCTCCTGACTGGTCTTTTCCCAGCTCGGTCCTGGGGGCACCAGAGCCCACCCCCACAGTTCCCTCCACCCGCAGCCCCCCCCAAGCCCTGTGGCCCAGGGCTCAGCTCTTTCCCCCACATGCCACCTGTGGGTCTCGAGCAGGCACAAAGGTCACTCATCATCCAGAGCAGGGTTTTTGTCTGCACACCCCCCCACCCCCCGCCCCGCCACTGTGCCAGGATCCAGGGCAAGGCAGGGCCAGGTCACTGGCTGTGGGATAAATGGCCCGAGCGCCTCCTGAGGTGTCATGTGTGTGCAATTCCTGCCCCAACACAGTCCGGAACCCGTGGGTGGGGGCGTGGGACCCACCCGAAGTGAACATGCCTTCCACGGTTCCAGCGCACACGGGACAGAGGCTGGAGGTGTGGTCCCGGCTAGGATCTCAGTTCCCCAACCCACAAGGGGTGACAGGCCTGCCTGAGGACGCCTGCCTGGGCCCTGCTGGGGCCCGGGGCTGCAGCCCCCTTCCTAGGAGGAGACCCCAGGTGGGCTCAGGGGCCAAAGGGCATGACGTCCCTGGCTTTGAACTCCTTCAGGGAAGTTGAGAGCAATGCAGCAAATGCTGACCATCACTTTGCTACGTTTTGCTAGTTGTGGCTGCTTCAGGGTGAAGGGTACGTGGTGTTCACTATGATCTTACAAGTTCCCTGTCAGGTGTCAGGGTGAAGTTTTTCCAAAAAAAAAAAAGTTGAGGCGATAAGGAGGCTCGGATTCCTTCCTCCTGCCCCCAGCTGCCGGGGGACAGTGGGCCGGGGCAGGGGAGCGAGCGTGCAGCAGCAGACCCCGTGCCGGGGGACTGGGAGCCACCGCCCCCAGGGGCTGATCCCTTTGGGAGCACAGACCCGTGGTGGGCACACGGATGGTTCACTGGGCAGCGGCCACATGTGGCTGCCGGCCCCCCACACCCCCAGACCACACGGCCCAGCGTCCCCCACACCCACCCAGGACCAGCAGCTGGGCCCCGATCCCGGCTCCTAAGGGACCCACCAGTGCCATTCCGGCAAGTGTATGGCTGTGTTTTATGCTCAGAAAGTAACCCCAGGGGATCCCTGGGTGGCGCAGCGGTTTGGCGCCTGCCTTTGGCCCAGGGCGCGATCCTGGAGACCCGGGATCGAATCCCATATCGGGCTCCCGGTGCATGGAGCCTGCTTCTCCCTCTGCCTGTGTCTCTGCCTCTCTCTCTCTCTCTCTCTCTCTGTGTGTGTGACTATCATAAAGAAATAAATTAAAAAAAAAAAAAAGAAAGTAACCCCAGAAGCAAACTCTGGAACTGAGGTTAAAGACTGTACCCAGCAGCACCCACGACTTCACCCCTGCCCTTGCCTCCTCGGGGCACGGCTGGACCTGTCCTCTGGGTCCAGGGGGTCAGCACAGCGCGGTGGCACCCAGCCGGATGCAGGTGGGTGGAGAACCAGGCGGCCCCCCGGAACGGGATCTGTGCTCCAGCAGCACAGTCCAGAACACAGTAGGGACCCCAGGCCTCCGTCTGCATCTGTGAGCCTCTCGGGCCACGTCAGGGGGCACTGATGGTCCTTCCCATACTCGGGGGGCATGGGGGGCCTGGCACTGTTGCCCAGGATGTGCCTACAGACCCATTTGTGGTCCCGACTGCCAGGGAGAGGGCTGGTGGCCCGCTTCTCCCTGGCAGCTGGCCCTGGGACTGTCCCTGTCCCTTACTCCTCCCCGGGGGCTGGGAATCAGGAAAGCCACAGGTCAGCCAGAGACTGCACAGGACAGGGGCAGCCTGTCCTGCTGGGCCTGGGAGGCCAAGCTGCCCCTGCCCTCTCCGACCCCGCACCCTGCTCCCTGGAGGGCGCCCCAGGTGGTCTTGCCCGTCCCGCCCTCTCGAGGCCCGTCTGCCTGGCGCACAGCTGAGGTCGCACCTTGCCACCGCGCAGACACCAGCTAAGCAAGGCTCCCCCACCCTTGCAGAGAGGGAAGGGACGACAGAGGGCCAGGCGCATCCCACCACCAGCGGCAGAGGAGGGCAGGGCTTGCTGACAGGCCCAGGCAGGCTGGAGGAAGCCAGGTTAGTGCCCGGGAGGGGCTGGGCGCGGCCCCTGCCTCTGCGGCCACCGTTAGTGCGCAGCGCCAGCTCGAGTACGTACCTTACTGAATCACACACGATCTTTTTGTTTTATTATCATCAGGGTCAGGGACAACCTCTGCTTTCAAATAAGAGAAATGCACTCAACGGCCTACTCTACTCCTAAACTACCCTGAACTCAGAGCTGGGGCCGGCGACCTGGCACTCGGGCTGCATGGACGAGGAGCCAAACGCGGCTGGGCCTCAGGCAGCCCCTGGCTCCACGGCCCGGCTGCCACTCCCTGCTGGAAGCGGCGCAAAACGGGGGTTAGTGGCTTAGGGGCGTGGGGACGAGGCCAGCGGCCCCCCCCAGAGCTGCCCCTCCCAGGTGCGTAAGGGTGGCCACCTCCTCTCCTGCAGGCCGTGGGCACGTCCCGGGAATCACCCGCTCTTGGGGGGCAGGGGAGGGAACGTCCGGACTGTAGCACGAGGCTCAGGGCCCCACCGTGGGACGGATGAGCCCCGACCACACGCCAACGCCTCCCAGCAGGGCCCTGCTTCGGGGGGACAAGGAATGATGGGAGGGGAGCCCCGAGTTACCTTCCTGGCTCCTGGAGGGGCGCTTCTTCCTTCGCCTGCCCATCCGCTTCGAGGCCTGTCCCCGGGCGCTGGGGAGAGTGCCGGACCCCGAGGAGTCCGTGACTGCGTCCTCAGAGAACGATCTGTCCAGGGATGTGTCCAGCGCAGAGTCTGGAGCTGTGTCCTCCTGGTCCCCATCCCCGTCCCCGTCCCCGACAGGGCCTGTGGCGGGGGGGTCGGCGCTGCGGCCGCGGGCGGCTGCCTCCTGCGGGGCCGGGACGGTGCTGTCGGCCTCGGCCAGGCAGACGCCCCGAGGGGCTGTGGGCTCTTCAGCGTCTTGGGCCCCGGAGGGCTTGTCACCCGAGATCCTGAGAGGCTTCAGGGCCTGGGCCCCTCCCAGCACCACTGGCCAGGCGCCCTGAGGAGGCAGGGGCCCCTGGGGGTCCTCGGGGGCCAGGAACTCGCTGGCATCGGTGTACCAGGAAGAGCGTCTCTCCTGGGGCCCGGGCCCGCCGTCCTCGGGTGCATCCACGGCGGGCTGCGGGCTGGGGGCGATGGCGTCCGCGAGGTCCAAGCCCCGGGGATCGGAGGTGGGGCCGCCGCCTCCCGCGGGGCCTCTGGCGGCCGCTGTGGACACAGGGCAGGACCGGCGTGGGCGGGCCCGGCTCCCAGGCCCCGACTCGGGGTGCGCCCGCGGGGGCTCCGTCCATCCCAGCCCCGCAGAGCCGCCTGGCCTGGGCCTTCCCCGGGGGCCTCCAAGGGGGGGCTCCGGAGAGTGGGCCTCGGCGTCCAGGGTCTGCCCACGGCACGGCCGAGCCGGGGCCGCGGGGCCTGCTTCCCCTCCCGCAGGCCCAGGCCGGCCTCTCCCGCCACCGCAGCCTGGAGCCCCGGGGACCCGTGCCAGAGGCCCCCGCCCCCCAGCCCCACCTCTCGGGCAGTGCGGGAGGCGGGAGAGGGTCTCACCAGGCGCCCTGTCCCTCGGGGGGTCTGCGGCGGCCGCCTTGCTGCCCCCCTCCGCGTCCCCTCGGCCGCGGGCCGTCTTCCGCAGCTGGAAGCCCTTCCTGATGTCGGCCAGCAGGGCGTCGATGACACACACCTCCTCCTGCTTCCCGACGCCCCTCCTGACTGAGAAGCCCCAGAGACCCTCAGAGATGCTGTGGTCCCTGAGCCACCCGGCTGACCCTGAAGGTGACCTGGAGGGGTGGGGGGCCACCGGAGCCCGGGGCCGGGGTCGGGGGAGCGGCCCACGTGCAGACCCGGCCCCACGAGCCCCCCGCCCCCGGCCTCCCGGGCCTGGCCTCACCAGGCTTCCCATCCTCGCCCCGCGGCCTCCGCGCCTCCTCCTCCGCCAGCTGCTGCTTCCTCCTCTCGGCCTTCGCCGCCTGCTCCTTCCGCTCCTTGTTCTCCTGCGAGGGGGACACACGGGGCCCGTGACCCCCAGCCCCCAAGGGTTGGCCGGGCCTGGCGCCGCGGGGCCATTCCACCTGCAACGCCTGAGGTCGGCGAGGGGCTGCGGCCGGCCCACCTTCAGGGCGCGGATGAAGAGGTCGCGGAAAGTCTTCATGATGCCAAACATGTCCTCCAGGGACAGCTGCTGGGCGTCCTCACACAGGTAACTGGCCAGCTCTAGCTTCTTCTGCTCGATGGCCTGGAACACCTCATCTAGCGCCCGGGAGGCCTTGATGTTGGTCTGGGGGTGAGGGGGGGCACGGTCACAGCCCTGCGGGAGCCCCACAGCGGTGCCACCTGCCATCACGGGGATGAGGCCGGGCTGCAGGAGGGTGATGGCCACCTGCACTGGCCCCCACAGGCAGCGGCGTCTGGGTGGGACCAGGAGGTCTGGATACTGGGGTCCCTGGGATCAGGGAAGCCCCGCACTTATAGGACCTACTCTGGGGACTGAGGACAGCAATGCTACCCTCCTGCAGCGCCCCAACCCTGGGGTGGTCTTCTCCCATGCTCACCTGGCCCTGCCTTGTTCACTAGCCTAGTCTGGCACAAACCCTGCGGGGCCCCCGAACCCCCAGATGTCATCGGGCACTGCCTCCCCTGGCCCAGACCCCCACCCCAAGGCCATCGGGCACTGCCTCCCCCGGCCCAGACCCCCACCCCAAGGTCACCAGGCACTGCCTCCCCCGGCCCAGACCCCCACCCCGAGGTCACCAGGCACTGCCTCTCCCAGCCCAGAACCCTGCTCGAGCTTGCCTGCAGGCGCTGGCTGTACTGCTCCTGCACCTCTGGAACAGAGGAGGACACCTTCCGCTCCATCTCCAGAAGCTTCTTCAGGTTGCTGCTGGACTCGGAACGGATGATCTCAAGATTGATCCTAAAACATATCCCAGAGCCAGGTGGGGTCAGGCACAGCTGATATCCGGTCTTGTGGGGCCCGTGGGGGTCCTCAGCCCGCACACCTATGGGGACAGTAGGGGACACTGGACTGCACCCCTGCAGGTCACCAGAAGCAGTCAGAGCTCTGGAGAGGGCCACGTGGTGCCGGCGACGGACAAGCCAGGACAATGACCCAATGCTTCAGCCTGACTTTGGCTCTCAGGCCTGAGAACCCTCTGTAGCAGCATGTACCTGCAGTTGGAAGGTCTAGGCCACCCTCCCTGAGTTGCGCCCCCCGGGCTCAGTGACCCCACGGACGCAGCCCCACCTGCCCTGGCCTGTTTCCCCATCCGTACAAGGGGAGTGGCACAGCCTTCCCCGTGGGCTGCTGTGAGGATCCACCTTGAACAGAGGCAGTGTCGGCCTAGCTCCTGGTGTGACTGTGACCAGGTCACGCCCTATGTCTCCTGGGCCTCGGTGTCCACCCAAGGTCTATCCCGAGGTGACAGTAAGCATTCTCTGGGGCAGGGGCTCCCGGGGGCCCAGGGTTGTGCTGCGGCCATGAGGCCCAGCCTGGCCCAGCCACCTCCCAGGCCAGGACCAGAGCGGGGCGGGGCGGGGTACCTACCCTGCGGCCTGGGAGGGCTGCTCCAGGTCCTGCGGCAGCTGCAGGAGGTCCGGGTGGCTCTTCTCCGCCTCCTGCAACAGGACGTGTCCTCTGAGCGCTGCTGTGGCCACACCCTGGCCCAGGGATGCCCGAGCCTCAGGGGCCACCCTGAGGACCCACCTCCAACACGTGGTGCAGCAGCGTCACACGGCTCTGCTGGGACTTGGTCTCCGTGAGCTTCAGCAGTGTTTGGATCTTGAAGCCATCAGCATCCCCCGTGTGGCTGCCCTGCGAGGGGCAGGGTGGGCAGTGAGTGCCATTGAGGCTTCAGGGGAGGGAAGTGGGGGGTGGGAAGCAGGAGGGGATGGGACGAGCTGGGGCGGGGCCCACTTACATAGTTGAGGAAGTTTCCAATTTTGAGGATCAGCTGGCAAAAGACGGGCAGCCGGTGGCTGTTGAGCAGGCCTGTGGGAGGGCGCCAGGGCTGAGGGAGGGGAGGGTGCTGCGGGTGTCTGAGGCTGTGGCCCAGGGGTCTCAGCGTTCTTCACTCCCCTCCCCTAGGCGCTTCCCCCAAACCCCCTCCGAGCTTGGTCCAGGGCTGGGCAGGGGGGCTGGAACCCCCTCCAGGTTCAGGGGCTCTGGAACCAGGTGTGCCACTCTTAGCACTCACTGACCCCTCATCACCCCGGGGGCGGACGACCCCTGCCCCTTCCTCTGGGTGATGCTGCTGAGAGCAGCCTTCCTGAAGGTCATAGCTGTGGCCTCCCGGGTTCTCAGCTAACTGCCCTTGGGGCTTCGGGGAGGGTGGTCCTCCTGGCTCCGCAGCGGAGATGGGAGCAGACGTGTGTCCCTGCCCTGGGGCTGTCGTATTTTCCTGCTCATCCCTCATCTGGAGAAAGCGGTGAGCGTACAGGTGTCCCTGAACACATATAGGTGTGTGCACGCCTGTATCTGCGCACGCCCATGTGGCTGCGTATGCGTGTGCATGCGTGTATATCTGTGCACAAGCAGCCGCGTGTGTGCCTGTGGATGCGCACGTGAGTGCACGTGCTCGGTGTGTGTCTTAGAGCAGGGACGTGTCTATGCGGGGGGAGGCCAGCAGCCACGGGCCCCCTCCCTGTCCTGAGGCCCCAGGCTTGCCCCCCACTCACTGTTGCAGGCAGCAAGTACCAGCTGGGCCTTGGGCTGCACCATGTCCAGCACGACGGCCGTGCCCTCGCACAGCAGCATGCACTCCACCCGCAGCTGGTAGCTGGGGACACAGCAGGACGTCAGCGGCTGGGCCCCCACCTGCTCTGGGCCCGCGGCTCGGGGGCTGCTCACAGGCCGGGTCCTGGGCCGGGTCCCAGGGCGCACTCAGCAGGCCTGGGTGGGGCCCCGGAAGAGCACCCGGTAGGGCTGTGGCCTCCCAGCAGGGCGCCCCTCCCTGCCAGAGCTGCGGATGCGTGAGCGCTGAGTGGAGCCCCCACGGAACGGGGTGCACGGCCCCACTCTGTCCCCGGGTCTGGGCCCGCTCCCCCTGCCCCTGTCCCCACCACGGGCCCCGGGGCCCAGGCCTGCCTGCTCACCAGGGAATGGCCAGCAGAAGGAGGTAGAACTGGTCGGCGTTGGCCAGCTTGGTCCGCTCCTCTGTGAAGGAGCGCAGGTTTTCAATCTGCGGGGAGGAGGCCACTCGTGGGGTTCCAGCTCCCAGCCCGTCCCAGGGAGCCCCCCACTGCCCGGCACCTGCATCTACCTGCTCTCACCACCACCGTCCCCTCATGTGCGGCATGACAGCTCCCGGTGTCTGCCCACTGAGGCCCCAGGCGGGCTGAGCTCCCGGCTCCCAGCTCCCCTGCTCCTGCCCTTGCCGGGGAGCCCCCGGGGCACTCACCCCCACTCACCTCGTGCTTCTCAGGAAGGAGCTTGAGGAGCTGCTTGAGAACCTCCACGTCGAATTTGCTGGTGTCCCCAGCCTGGATCATAGCAGCGACGTCCTCGTTGGAGCTGCAGGAGAGGGGGCACGTGGGGGTGGGGGCAGAGGGAGCGCAGCGGCCTCCTGTGGGCTCCCGGGGACCCTGCCGGTCGGGACTGCCCTCAGCCCAGGACCCCTCTGCTGCTCACACCCGTGAGGCTGCAGGGGCCCAGCTGCTGGGGGCACACAGGAACCAGGCTGGGGGCTGAGCACCACACTCCCAGTCTGCACGCTCTGCCTCCTCCTCCCAGGGGGCTGCTCAGGACCGGGGCGCGCCGGCTCACGCATGCCCGAGAGCTGCAGGGAAGGACTCGCCCGCCTGGGGCCTCAGCTTCCCGGGGTGGGGGTGCGGGTGGGACTGCTGGTCTCCAGGGCCCGCCCCGCGAGGGGGTGTGTACTTCCCAGGAGCGGCCTGCAGAGGGCACCGTGGAGCCCAGGACGGCGGGGGCGTGGCCGGGCGTGCCGGGGCGTGGCCGGGGCGGGGCCTAGACCGGGCCGCTCACCACTTGAACTGCTTCAGGAAGATGTTGAGATGCAGGCTCTTCTTCGAGTCCAGAAACGTGACCTGGAAGACAGCCCGCAGGCGTTGGGACGTGCAGGGCGGCCAGGCCCCGGCCCCAGCCCGGCCCGGCCCCACCTCCTTGGGCTCCTTCCTGGCGGCGGCGGCCGCCGGCTCCTTGGCCTTGGCCTCGGGGAAGCAGAAGAGCCGCTCGATGCTGCAGAAGTCAGGCTCCGGCACCAGGGCGCCCGGGCAGCTCAGCGAGGCCCACATGGAGCTGTGCTCTGCGGACCAGGTGTCCCCGTCAGGCTCACGGCCACCCCGGGGCCCGAGAGCCCCCGGCCGCCGTCACCCGCGGCATGTGCAGGTGCCATCCAGGCCTTCCAGCGGCCCTGGCCGTGACCCGCTCCGAGCATCCGCACCCAGGGCCTGGGCAGCGCAGGGGGCAGCACCGGAGGCACACCTCGGCTTACAGCGGTGCGCACGGGGAGGGGGGTGCCCACAGGGTCTTCCAATGTGACCTCTGACCTGTTCCCCCCAGGACCCAGGGCTACGTCGGGAGCAGAGACTGAACCGCTGCCCTGGCCGGCAGCAGCGGGACACAGACACACAGGGCCGGGCCCCTGCCCCCCGCGGAGCCTGGGGCGCCCTCACCTTGCGCCACGTTGGACGGCAGCTTCTGCCAGTTGAGCTTCTTCATGCGCACAGTGGGAGGGTTTACTCGCCGGTGGCTCGGGACCCAGGCAGAGCCCAGGCCCGGGTCCCTGTGGGGCACGATGATCTCCTCCTCGCCGCCACCCGCCGCAGAGGAGCCAGAGGTACCCGGCAGGGGTGGGGGTGGAGGGGCGCCCATGCCAGGCGGTGGGGGTGGCGGTGGGCACCCCGGGAGTGGCGGAGGTGGGGGAGGCTGGGCCCCACCAGAGACAGGCAGTGGGGGCGGTGGAGGGGGTGGGGGAGCTGGGGCCCCCAGGCCTGGCAGTGGGGGCGGTGGAGGGGGAGGGGGGGGGAAGAGGCCCTGCCCCCAAGCCAGGCAGTGGGGGTGCAGGGGGGATCGGGGTGGGCGCCTGCGGCTCCAGGCCCTTCGGCTCTGGGGCAGTCACACTGCTTGTGCTCTGGACGTCGACCATGTGCCGGCTGGTGAGGTCCGCCTCGGGCTGCTGGTCCTCCACGCCCGGCTTCGGGGCGCCGCTGTTTTGGGGCACGCTGCCCCTCCGACTCTGGCCGAGGTCGGCCTGGACACTCTTGTGGGCCTTGTTCAGGGGACTTGGGCGTGGCCGCCCCTTGACAGCCAGGAGCCGCTCCACCATCTCCTCTAGGGTACACTCCTGGACTGTGGGGGGGTCGGGGTGAGGGCCCAGGTCAGAGACGTGGGTGCGGGGCGGCGGAAAGGCCTGCTCACTGCCCCCAGGCCACGGGCGGGTCGGGGGCCGAGGCCGGGAGCCCTCCCGCAGCGCTCCAAGGGCCCCCCGCGTGCCCCGCCCGCTCACCATCGCTGGCCAGGAGCACGGCCCGGTTCACCAGGCTCTCCAGAGCCTCCCAGAGCAGCTGGCTGGAGGGGAGCCCGGGCTCCAGGTAGAGCAGGCCCTGCAGCACGGACAGCAGCTGGGCGGAGGCCGGGGAGCAGCTCACCTGGGCGCGGCCGAAGAGCGGGGGTCAGCGGCCGTGCCCTTGCCGGGGCGGGCTGACAACGGTGGGCTCCCGAGGCCGGGACTGTCCCCGCTGTCGCCGTCCTGGGCCTGGTGAGGGGCCGGGGCCCGGGTTCCCTGAGGGCCACGCTGCGGCCAGCTGGGGTTGGACAACTGTCCGTGCCGGGCGCTGCCCTGTGCTTGGAGGGACGCCACCCAGCATCCCTGGTCTCTGCCCACCCGAAGCCAGCAGTACCCCTGCCCACCCCAGATGTCTCCAGGTGTCCCTGGACGCCCCCTGGGGACACGTGCCCCCTGGCTCTGAGGAACAGAAGGTGCTGGCCAGGGAGGGCCAGCTGGACCAGACGCCGCCCCCCAGCCCCTGCAGCTCCCTGATGTGGCTCCCGATCTGGCCTCAGTGCTCCGGCCGCGGTGGGTCTGCCGGGGTCACAGCCTCTGACCCCGGCCAGAGACAGGCCCCGGCTCACCTTGTGGAACACAGAAGCGAACACCTCCTGGTGGCTGTTCATGTTGACGCCGCCACAGACCCGCAGGAGCTCCTCCTCGTCCTCCGCCTTGGCCTCCTCGAAGGCCTCCAGCTGGATCAGCAGGTCGGCGTCCTCCAGGTCCCTGGGGTGGGGTGGGGGGCACAGGCTGAGGCTGTGCCCTACCAGCCGCCCCCCAACCTGGCACACATGTGCAGACGACCCGGGCAGGGCTGTGCTGGGCACGCGGCCACTGTGGCCAGGACGGGCGTGGCTGGAGGTCACCAGCGCCCCACGGCCCTTGAGAAGGGGGAGAGAAAGTTCTCACACCTGGGGGGGGCACGCTGGCGGCTTCCCAGCATGCAGGGGTGCTGGGAGGGCAGCACCCACACCACATGGAGGGGTCCGCCCTGGCCTCTGTGAGGGGCAGGCCTTCCGGCCTGGGCAGTGGGAGCTGCAGCGCACACGGGGCCCTGCACCACACGGGGCCCTGCACCTGCAGCTCACCTTGGCCTGGCCGGCGAACGGCGCCCCTGGCGGCAGGGCGGGCCCCTCTCGGCATCTAGCAACCTCACACCCAGGCTCCTCCTCTGGGCCCCCCACGGCCCAGCTGACCGCCCCCACCCAGGAGAGTGCACCTCATGGGGCCCAGGATGGGGTTTCGCGGCTACGTGGGCTCCCAGGCACCGCCAAGTTTGAATTTCAGACAAACTGCAAATGATTTTTAGCATAAGTGTGTCCTATACGACAACTGGGATATACTTGCACTACAGGAGGGCTCTGCTGTCTACCTAACTCCCACTTAGCGGGGCGTCCTGTGTTGCACCTGGCAAGCCCGGTCCCTAGGCGCAGCTGCCAAGCCCCCGGTTCTACGGAGTGACCCATCAGGCAAACCGTCGTCACTGGGACCTGGGTCCACAGGCTGGGCCCACTGGGGCTACTGCTGCCAAGTCCCCTGTTGCCCATCTGGGGGTACTGCTTGGGACCCAAGGGTCTCAAGGTGAGCCTGGCTTCGGAGAACAGTGATGCCGACTCACCGTAGCCGTGTCAGAATGTCCAGCAGCTGCAACCCTGGGAAGGGACAGTGGGGTGAGCGGCCTCAGGGGCTGCTCTGGTCAGCTCCCACCCCGGGTCGCTTGCACCTGCTCCTGCCTTCCCCTCTGCTCTTGCTCTGGGCTTACTGCCACCCCCAGGATACCCAGCCCAGGGGGCAGGAGGGGGACCCTGCCATTCCTACAGGTACCAGCAATACTCTGGAGGGGACACGCGGTCGTACCCACTCAGTGGTCACTGCCACCCCTGGCAGGACAGCACTGGGGGGTCAGTGTCACATTGAGAGCCACCCCCAAAGGCCCCGAGTCCACCAAAGGGAGCAGGCAGGGGCAGCTTCCCAGAGACCTCCCCTGGGGTCCTGGAGGGGAGTGCGTGGGCCGGGTCAGCCAGGGGGCACCAGAGGCAGAGGCACAGCGGGGCCTCCGGGGGGCGTGGGCGGTCACCAGTGAACTCCCCGCGCAGCTGGGTGCGGGTGCGGAGGTCCTCAGGGCCCAGGATGATGGCATTGATCACACTGAGCAGGGTGACGACATAGGGCACGTTGTCGCTGTCAGAGAGCTCGTTCATGATGACGCTAAAGCGGTACTGCTGGTTGCACACCGTCTGCGGGGTGGGCAGGGGTCAGCGTGCGCCGCAGGCCCACCACGGCCCCAGGCGCCCCCGAGGCTCACCTTGTAGTGGTCTAGGGCGTCCAGGGTCAGCATGTGGCCCTCGGGTGAGTAGATGCACAAGGCAGCCAGCAGCTCGAACACCTGCTTCTTGACCATCACGTTGGACGTGTCCAGAGCTGCCAAGGGCAGGCGAGTCTCAGGGGGACCCTTCGATCCCAGGCCTGGGCTCCTCCTCCTTCTGTCCCCCCAACCCTGTGCCTGGCTGACCTGACTCACACTTCACCAGGAAGGGCAGAGCCTGCAGCTGGGCTCCAGGGGGCGCTCTGCACCAGCCCACTGGCCATGTCAGGGGCTGGCCTGGCCTCTAGGGTGGGCTGGCCTCTGGGGGTGAGCTGGCCTCAGGTGGGCTGGGCTCTGGGGGTGAGCTGGCCTCAGGTGGGCTGGCCTCAGGGTGGACTGGCCTCGGGGGTGGGCTGGCCCTGGGGTGGTCTGGCCTCAGGGGGTGCTGACCTGCCTCTACCAGGGGACCAGAGAGGCAGGTGCCACAGGGAGGGGCTCGGAGGCGGGGGTCTTGGGCTGGGCCGCACTCAGAGTGGCCCCTGCTGGCCCTGGCCCCAAGGCCCACGCTGGCACAGCTCCCCGGGCTGAGCTCCTGCCTCCCACCTCATCCTCTGAGCTGAGCAAGTTTTGGGGGTGTCCCTTATGGGCCTTGGTGAGAGGCCACAGAGGAGTGTACATGGGCACAGCCAGGCCCAGGCTGCATAGGACAGGCCGGAGGTAGCCTCTGCCTTGCTTACCCACACGGGCACTCACCCACCCACGGGCCGACCCACCCGCGCTCCCCAACAGAGCACCAAGCATCAAGGAGATGCGGTTGCTGCCAGAGAGCGGCACAGCCTGGCAGGCAAGGGACGCACAGTGACCTCTGTTCACTCAGGGCCGCCTGAGGTCACTCCCACAGGTAGAAGACTGAGAGCAGCCTGGGGAGACTTCCTGGAGGAGGTGACTGTGAGTCAGAACTTAAGCAGTCAACAGGTGCACGAAGGCAGAAAGCAGCCTGAGCCAGAGTGGAGGCTGGGTGCTGGAAGGCGAAGCCCCCCGGGGGTGGGAGCAGGGCACGGGCAGGGTAGGGGTGTGGGGAAAGGGGGAAGAGGACGCCGCCAGCCCCAGTGCTGGCCAGAACTGCAGGGCTGCAGGCCCGCGAAGCTCAAGGCACTTGGGGCCAGGCGGAATGTAAGCGGGGCTCCTCGGGTGGACTCAGGTGAGTCCGGCTGCCAGGGCCTGGACCAGGGTGGCAGGTTCCGGGGCGGAGGGAGGGGGGTAGGCCGGAGAGGGGGGCAGGGTGGGGCGAGGCCAGGCGAGGCCAGAGAGCAGAAGGGGCAACCAGGTGCAGCGGCTGGAGGACCACGGCCGAGCTGACCTGGAGGTCTTCTTCCTCCAGGAAGGCCTCCCTGCCTGGCCCGTGAGTCCTCTCTGTGACCCCGGCCCTCCCTCGGCCCTCCCCGGCCCGGAGCCTCCCCCTGACCGACCAAGGGGGCGTCCGCGCCAGCCTGCCCGCCCCCCCGCGGCGGGCCGCGGCTCACCCAGGGACAGCTGGCGCACGTAGGCCTGGTTGCTCAGGATGTACTCGATGCCCTGCTGCGAGTTCATGACGGCGCGCACGCAGCTGATGCAGGTGAGCTGCAGCAGGGCGTCGGCGATGCGGGCCACCCCGCGGCCGGACAGGCGCGCCAGCGCCTCGAGCAGCAGGTCCAGGCCGCTCTGCTCCAGGAACTGCACCATCCAGCCGCCGTCGCTGCCCTCCAGCCGCTTGCGCAGGCCCGAGTAGTTGACCACAGAGGGCATCTGCAGCAGCCGGATGCACAGCTCGGGGTCCGCGCTCTCCAGGTTGGCCTCGGTGGGGTCCGAGTCCTGCGGTCCCCAGCTTCTCCTTCAGCGCCGCCCACTTGCGCTGCGCCCCTTCCTTCACCGACATCCTGCCGAACTGCAGGGCGGGGGGAGACGGGCGTGAGTCCGGGTCGGGGGGTGACGGGGGCGCCCCGCCGGTGGAGGGACGGGGAGAGGCCGGGGTGCCAGCGGGGCAGTGTCCTCGGGGTCTCCCTCCCCCCGCCACATGGGGTGGCCCTGCTTCCCGCTCACCCCAGGCCTGCCCGGGGGGACGCTGTGCCCTGGTCCAGTCAGGGCCGCCACTGCCCACGGGCTTCCCCTGTGCCAGCCAGGCGCTCCTCCCCACCCCCAACGGCCACCACAGCGGCCACCGTCCCCCTGTCCCTCCCGGGGTGCTAGGAACACCACTGACCCAGTGGTGACGGTGACGATGCAACAAAAGTGGTGTCTCTGGGGCTCCCTCCCTTATCTTGTCCCAGGGCACTTCCCCTGCCCAAGCGACAGGGTCAGATAGGGACAACAGGGTGCGGCAGGTCCAGACCCTGGGCACTTCTGGGCTGCCCAGGCATCGGGCGCCTGGCCGGGGAAGGGGCCGACCGGTGCCCACCCCGGTCGCGAGCAAGGCCGGGCCCCGTGGGGAAGCAGCCCGGCCAGGCCGTGGCCTCCGGGGCCCTCAGCATCCCTCCGTGGGCCAGAGGACCGGGCGTCCCCCTAGGCCGAGCATGTGCAGCCTCAACAGGTGTGACCCCTACCCAGAATGCCCCCGAGCACAGGACTTTCCCCAAGGAGGACAGGCCGGCTGAGCCTCTGTGCCCTCGCCACACCCACCGAGTGCCCCCCCCCCCCCCCGCTCCCGGCAGGGCCCTCGGCAGTGACGCTGTCCTCAGCCACAGCCCCTGGGGCCTGGCCTCACGGTCAGGGGCAGCCCAGGCTCTCCTGCAACCATGTATGGCTCGGGTCTCGTACTTACCGTGAGGAGGGCGGCTCGGAGCTGCTGAGACGGCGCCCGAGAAGCAGAGCCCGGAGGACCACTGCCTCGTGCCCAGGGCCCGGCCCGCCACCAGCTCCCCGGCACCCCAGCACCCCCGGGTTACAGGAGAGAAAGGGCTGTGGCACCTACAGCAGCCAGGTCACAAGCCCACCCCCAGCGCTGGGAAGCACAGAACGGAGCCAGCCTGGACCCCAGTCAGGGGGAGGCTGTCCAGCCCGGCCCCCCTCTCGGGGCTGCCCGACCCGCCAAGTTAGGGGGCGCCTCTGAGTGTGGACAAGAGCCCAGGTGCCCATCGCTGGCCCGGCCCGGGGTCCCCTGTGCTCTCCGGGCTCCCCCTACCCCAGGCATGCGATGCCCTGGCACTCCAGCAGCCCCTCCTCTGTTCGCAGCAGGTGCAGGCCAGGAGCCCAGCCCCCCACCCAGCCCCCCGGGGGAGGCGGCCTGGCTCAGCAGGCTGCGGGTCCCGCGAGGGCCCCACTGTCCTCACCGGGACCTCTGGGAGCACCCAGAGAGGCAGTGGGTGTGGGCGTCGCTGCAGCGGCATGCGGGGTGCCCGTCAGCCCTCCCTGTGACCCCATGGCCTCTCCTGTCCCCCTCAGGCTTTGACCCTCTTGTCCCCGGCCCCACCGCCCCACCGCCCACTCACCCAGATGCGCAAGACCTTCCGGCTGCCTCTGCCCACCCATTCCAGGCCCTGCCTCGGGCTGCCCGGCGCACTCTCCTGGCTTCTCATCACCGCTGACCGCTGAGCCGCCCGGCTGCCAGCGGTGGCTCCGCACGGGGACGCTGCCCGGGGAGAGGGCCGCTCCCACCAGCATGAAGAGCACAGCGGAGGGGCCTCTGCTCACACTGCCACCCACCGTGGGTGCTGCCGCTTAAAGACGCAGCCAGGACTGACCCTGCCCTCCCCGCCCCGCCCCCGCCCCACTGGCCCAAGTCCCTGTTGCCTTGGCACAGGCTGAGCAGCTGGAACTAGAACTCTCCCAGGCCGGGCCCCCAGCATCCTCCGGGCCTTCTCTGGCCAAGAGCCCCAGGGGTCCCTGGCTGCAGAAGACAAGCTCCGGGCACAGCGTGCGTGGGCTAGAGCGCCCCGACCTGACACCGCCAGGTCCTCTCTGCGCACCCCAGCCCCCGGGGCCACGGGCTCACTGCTCCGGGAGACCCCTGCAGGGGCCCCCTTGGTGCACTGGGGGCTGGGACCAGGGCAGGCGGAGACCAGCCCCCTCCAGCTGCTCGTCCTCCAGGGATCCTGAGCTGTGCGCCCTGACTCTCCCAAGCTGGTCATGCCCCTCCCTGTACACATTGCACACGTGCACATAGCCATGCACATGCGTGTGAACACACATCATGTAACACGTACACACGGACGTGACTGCCTCACACACATGCACGTGGCGTTACACGTGCATCACAGGATGCACAGAGGCACCACGTGCACGCCCGCGAACGACACCGTGTGACCGCAGGAACAATCCCCGCGCTCGGGGACGGGACGAGAAGCCAGCCGGCGCCCCCTCCCGCCGCCTGCAGTCGCTGCCAAAGGCAAGTGCTGGTGCCCGATCCAAGCGGCTCCGCGGGATAAACAGCCCTTGCCTGTTCCCATGGGGGGGCGTTTGAACGTTCCTGCCAGGAGCCCCAGAGGGAATCAGGCATTTGCTGCTGTCGGGAGAACAGCGTGGGGAACAAGCCTTCCCGGCGACACCCGGGACCCGCGTGGGAGGCAGGAGCCAGACTCCTGGGCTTGCTTGTGCTCGCAGGGAAGTCACGCTGCCCTGGGCTCCCCGGCGGCAAAGGGACAGCTGCTGTGGGTTCCCAGTGGACGAACGGGACCCGGGAGCAGGCAGTGAGCACCCAGGAGCCCCCCGGGCTGTTGTAATACCGTCCACGGGCGACCGGCCCGGCCCTCCCGGGGCCAGAGCGCCGGGCGGGCTGCAGGCCAGGCCTGGCGCCCAGACAGGGCGCGGTGGCAGGGACCCTCCCCGAGCCGGCCAGACCGGGGCGGGCCGCAAGCTCAGGAATGTGACCTCGGGGCTCCCCACCCCTACGCGGGGGCGGGGCCGGCCTGCCGGGGGCGGGGCCTGTGCAGGATTCCGCATTTCCAGAGCCTTTTTTGCAGTGGGCACCACCTGCTGAAAAGCACGGACTGTCTCCCAGGGCCCGTATCCGGAGTCTCAGACCCTACCCCGACCCTGGGGGAGCTTCAGCACCCCCCACGTGCCCCGCAGGCAGACCGTGCCTCCCCCTGCACCCGTGGAACTCGGATGGGCAGGGGTCTCTGCAGACGAGGATGCTGGGGCTCGGACGTGAGCGGCACGTCCGTCCCCCATGTCCCCCATGCTTCTCGGCGGTCAATCTTTTCTGCACTAAAGTGGGGCTCCCGCTGCAGGGGGTCATGACTCCCCCCCCCCCCAGAGCTCTCCGGGGTCAGCCCACTGGCCGGGGTGTGCTGCTGGCCCATGCTCAGCCAGCCCACGTCGGGGCTGCCCCGAGGACCGGAGGAGACCCGCCGCTGGTCACCCATCTGCTTCCTGCCCACGCGCGGCTGGCCCCGCACAGCAGCACCGGCCGCTCCATCCGGGCACCACACGCCCAGGCAGCTGTGCTGTGCTGACTCATGGGAAACCGCCGCCCCTGCCTGGCAGTGCTCTGAGTGTATTCACGGGGGGACGGGGGGCACAGGGGCAGGGGCGAAGCTGCCCCCCCCACCCCGACCTCAGAGTCCAACCTCTGCTATGCAGATGGAGAAACAGCCAGAGAGGGAGCGCGTGTCCTGGGCATGGCTGCTGGGCGGCCCCGGCCTGGGTCCCCTGGGCTCTGAACCGTGTGGTGGGGTGCAGACGCCCACACTAAGTGCCACCGCTCGGCTCCGGCGAGGAAGGGCTTTGGCCTTCTCCTAGACCCCCGCGAGGGCTGCTGGGGGGCCTGGGGCCCAGGGGTGGGAGTGAGGCGTCGGGAAGGCACAGGCTGGGGACCTGGGCCCCCGGAGAGGGGTGGGCTGCTGTGGGGAGGCGGCTTCCCAGTGGCCCTGCCAGCATCGCACAGGGGCTGGGGTGCTTCTGGGCCCAGAGCCAGCGAGGGCGCGGGGGCGGGGTGCAAAGAGGGAGCTTGTCTTCCTTGGGGAAGGCGGGTAAAATGGCAGGAGCGGGGTTCCGGGGCTGCCACACTGTATTTTTAGCTCCAAATTTTTCCACTGCCTGGCAACCCTCGTATTGTATTTCCAGCAGCAATTCCCTGGAGCTCAGGGGCAGCCGGGGCCCTGCGTGACTGGGGGAAGCCCCTGGAGCCAAGTCCTCCTCTGGCTCCCCAGCCCCGGCTCCCCTGGGCGTCCAGGGCTCGCACCACCTTCCCCACCAGGCCATAAGCCCTCCAAGGACTCGTGGGGCTCGCCCGCCGTGGGCGCCTCCCAGGTCGGGGTGCCGTGCACAGTGGGCCTTGGGTAAGGACCAACCACCCAGTGCCTCCCCGCCGCCCACTCACCCACAGGCACGGAGCACAGGGCCTCGGCCAAGGTTGCTGTCCTGGTTACCTAGGGGTACCCTGTGTGTCCCGAGGCCTCACCTGACCCCGCACCCCCACCCCGTGGAGGAGGCCGGCCGGGCCACTGCGGCATCGGGCAGCAAACAGAGGGGCTGCCTGGGGGCGGGGGGGACATCAAGACTTCCACAGCAGCGCTGAATTAAAAACAGAGACGGGAAGTAGGACACGGTGCCGTACTGCGTGGGACTTCAGCCATGCAGCGACACGCCACGCAGGACACACGCCCGGATGCTAGCAGAAGTTGCGTCTGGGGTGAATGTGGTCGTTTCCATCATCATCAAGAGCACAGAGACAGAAAGGGCCCACCGTCCCTGGGGGACCTGGGCTCGGGTGGGGGAGCCGGCCACCAGCCCAGGGCGCCGGGGGGCAGGGCAGAGAGGGCGCTGGGCCCCCTCCCGCAGCGACGGGGAGTGGAGTGGGGTCTGGGCCAGTGGGTGCTGAGCGCCGGGAGGCCAGGCCTGGGCTTGGGCCACTGGCCCCAGGGTCTGGGGGCGGGTGGGGTGATGGCAGACCTGGGGCGCCCGCGCGGCCTGTCTGGTCCTCCACGGTCCCACCCTCCT